ATTTAGTAGCGTGTTTTTTTTATATAGGTCTCTAAATATCGAAAATGTAGACTATGTTTCGGAATTTGTTAGTATAACAATTAGGTTCTAAATTACCATATAACCTTATCATGGAACTGTCATGGTGGCAGATCTAGAAAATTTATTCGTTGGTGTCATAATGTGTCTATCAATGTCATAGCATGCTAATTATACTTAGAATATAGTGTTATAATATATGGATAAGCTGTTTAACTATAGTTTCTACCGAAAGTCATCGGTGTTGCCTAACACCGATGTTAGTATTGTAGATCCGCCACTCATGGAGGTGCCACATACCCTCTTGAGTACCATTGAGGGTGTAACATGTAAGGGGGTATATGTGGTAGTTTTGAAATTAGATAGCACATTTAAATTTAAGTATGCTACCAATGCGTTTTACTCTTGCATCAATATATGCATGTATGTGGATAAAAAAACAAATGGAAAAAAATTTGAGAAATGGCAAAAGCACAATGCCTACTACCTCAATTCCCCTCCACTGCATGCAAATATGAAATATGCAGATATGCTCTCATGCTATAGCCTCACTATATGTATACATATGCAGATATGCTGCATGCAAAACCTCGTTCATACTTAACAGAAACAAGAGGGTTTACATGAATCGAGCTGAGGTCTTTTTGAGTTTGTGGGTGTATCACCATACCTAACTGTCGTAGCATCTCATCATCTGGTTTCCAATTTCTCTGTTTCTTTCCGTACCTTTTCTTCAGACATGCATGCATATATAATGCAGTCTTCTGATGCATCTGTCTATACGCGTCGTCTGAATTTCTGACGAGGATAATCTGAGAGAGTTGATTTAGTTTGCTGTATTACGTGCAGACAGACTACTGGCTGCTAAATTAATCCCGGTTCTCGTTCCAGGTTGGGCTCAACTGAAGTCTCACAAAGTGCGCTCCAGCCATCCCATTAGCAGCGTTAGCATTTAGCAAGCTACTACCTCTATACCAACCTCATCTCTGAATTAATTTCTCGCTCGTATATCTATCCATCCATCTACCAGAGCAAGAAATCAACTCTCTCTCTAGTGTGTGTCATGCACAGTCATTAATTTCTTGCGTTGATCCAATGTGTAGGGATCAAGTTAATAAATAGTGTTCGCAGTTTACCTCTGCGGCTACCGCTATAATTAAGGTAGCGGACTGGAGATTAGTGTATTGAAACTTAGCGGCTGCTATTATATATGTTCAGCTTCACTACTGTAGTTTTCTATCGGTTTCGTTGGACTGTTATTGCGTTTAAATGGTGTTATTCATACATGGATGGACGAACTTAACGTAGCGTATGCTTATTTATATTTTATTTATTTATGTTATTATATTTTTATGCTATAATATGTATGAGTAATTTAAGTATGTTGTCTAAACTTTTGAATGAAATTCGATGTTTGTGTTGATATGTAATGTAACTTAAAATTTAAATCTTGCTATTGGAACTTAGTATCTATAATAGCACCTGTTATCTGCAATCCGCTACCCAGACACTAATATGCTACTGACTCATTATCTACTATTGATTATATATCTTGATAGTGATATATATACTTCTATACGTATGAATTGCATGCATGCAGCAACGGTGCTTCACGTATGTACATATATCTGTGTAAGTTATTTCCTTCATCCTAAAATATAAAGATTTTTTGAAGTCATTTTAGAAGGTGATTAAAAAAGTTGGTGAAATTAAATGGGGCTAACAAGATTGTGATTTAGATTATTAAGGCCCTCTTTATTTAGGCTTAAAGTTATTGGCTTAGACTTTTAAGTTTTAAGTCAGCTTATTGGCTTATATGATTTATAAGTCGATGGATTTAATGTCCTAAGTTTAGTGATGGAGTCATACATCTATCTCACATAAGCCAAAAAAAGCTTCTCCAACCTAGCTTTTGGCTTAATAGTGTTAGAGTGGCTTATGGCTTTCAAAAAAAGCCAAACGAATAAGCTGCTTGTTTATTTAGGCTTAGACTTTTCGGCTTATAAGTTGGCTTATAAGTCTAAACAAATAGGGCCTAAGTAGGTGAAGAAGTTTCTTTTTTTTTGATAAATTTTGAACAATAAAAAGTTGCTAATTTCATGACTTCAAACTAAAAGACAATTTTGAATCATTCAATCTCAATTTTAGAATCAATTTTCACTTTATCCTTCCGCGGCAAATTATATCGGCACAAACATAATTACTCTCCCAGACCTTTTAGTGCAACTATTAATTTGACTGCGAAAGCACTGGTACGTACTCTCTTCCATCCCAAAATAATGTAGGACGTCGTTAACTTTTTAGGACGAAGGGAGTTGTAATCAAAAGGGCCAGATGCACCATGCATGCATGGTTTGATTTGGGAGATGATATGATCGATGATGATGATGATTAGAGTAAAAGCGTATTGTTGTTGTAACATGTAAAGTCCACACGGCGATGCAAATACAATTATTTCTACTTTAGAAATTCGCATGCAGCTTCAAGAAAAGAAATCAATACGCAGGCGAAATTTATATCATCGTGCATTAGTCGTAGTGGTGGTCTATATATACACGACGGGATTCCACTACAACTACCTTGCCAATACACATGATGCATGCTAAATTATTATTATTTGCAAGCTGATCGATGTATATGTGTTGGTTAATTTCTATGGCGAAATAATTGCTTAATCTCTACTAGGATAGGCTCTAATGTTTTTGTGGTCTGCAGCATGCTTACGTGCCGTGCCCAATATCGTAGTATATTGGCAATAATGATGATTGGTACTATATATTAATATATAATCTTATAGTAATATATAATAGATGAGACAAATTGAAAATATCCCTACCTGCCTTTCCAATTTTCTACCAAATATACACATGCACATACAAGTGAAAATTCGTTATACCTCTTTCAAGTTTATACTCAACTCCTTTCAGGACTTTTAATTTTCAAAACGCAAAAAAAAAACAGAGAGAGAATTTGGAGGGAGAGATGTCCCTCCAAACATTTTTTAAGAAAAAATTGTGAGGGTGTTGAAGATTGAACACGTGATCTCAGGCTGAAATCACAATGTACACACTTCTTACCACTAAATTATCAAGTGCATCTCTAATTTTTACACCGCACTCACGTGCACACACCCGCGTGGCGTCTCGCACACATCTAAAAGGATTCGAGAGATTTAGTCTCATGCACATGATATAGGTACATGTTTTACTACCGAACATATATACCCATGTGTGCATGTACTACCTCCTAATATATAAGCCCAGCAACTCTAACTTTCTCTTATGCATCTAATATACTACACATATCTAACTTTTCATTTTAAATCTATGCACGTGTCAATTTCAGTAGTTAACCAATTCCCTTTTTTTTTTCAAATATGTCCATGTTGTCGATCACTCTCATCTGCAGGATTAATTTTCAAATAGATCAATATGAAGTTTATTTAATGGATGGTACAATCAAATCACAAAACGTTGTTCATTATTTCACATGTGAAATTAGTACTAAGATTTGTCATGTGAAAAATATGTATTGCAAAGCTGCTAATATATTATTATATAGGGGGAATATATATATATATAGTGCATTTGCTCTATGTCAAGGAGAGAGAAATTGATCTATAATTAAATGCATGAATGTGCCAACTGCGTCACGTACAGGCGCGTACGTAAGTACATAGGTACATCAACATAGATTACGTACGTACGTACGTGGGACACAAGCTGCATTTTTAACTAATGTTACCATATCTTTCACATGACCGTTACAAGCCCTTTCTGGTAAAAAAAAAGGTTAAAATTGTTTATTAAGAAATCGACATGGCCGGCCGGCCGTTAATTTTTGTTATAAAATATTTGGAAGGCGGTAAAATTATACTCCATGTATTACTTACCGTCTCAAAATATATTAACTAAATTTAATTTATCTATAATTCTGAACGCACAATTATATTTTAGTAGTGGTAGAAGCCGGGAGTTATCCATGGGATGACCCATAGTCTTTCAAAACCTCCAACCAAAAGAGGGGAGGGGAGGGCAAGCTAGAAGGAGAGAAGATATCGCTGATGGCAGCATGCCGCATCCATGTGTGCAACGCTGAAATTAATTGAACCATGAAAAACGTATCGAATTAGGTCCCCAGGGTTTGGAGGAGAGGGGTTGGTGGAGGGAGCGTCTTTATAGAGAGGTCATGTGTGAGGTGGAAGATGTATCAATAATAGGCGGTGGATTTGGTGGGTAGTGTGGCGGCGATTGCACCACCTTGACGATGGTGTGAGCTAAGAGCTAGTAGAGGGGTGAACTGTCGAGTAGCGGGGAACCTCATTGAAATGGTTAGGAGGCAGGGAGTAGTGATGGCATATCCACTGGTGTGTAAGTCGCTAGAGACGGAAGAGGAGAGATGCCGCACCAGAGAAGAAGAGAGGAGCGCTACGGCCACAATAGTATAGTAGGGATAAAGCGGTATGAGGTAGGTAGCTAGGTGGGTGCGTCCTGCGAGCCTTGTTGATGCCGAGAGCCCGAGACACGCCAACGAGGCAAAGAGCGGCGGTGTGTGGATAGGCAGATGGAGGTTAGGGGGTGAGGGTAGGGGGAGGCATTGTGGTGGTGTATAACGTGTGTACAAAACGAACCATGAGAAAAGAAGGATAGAGTGGGTTAGGGTTATACGTAGGAAACAAGACTGAAATTTAGATAAAAATAAGGTAATTGAGAAGTAATTAAACCCTTCTAATATATACACGATAAATATATATCAAGCATCGACAATTTTAATTTATTTTGATCCACTATCTTCAATACAGTATATGTTATGTTGTACTTATCAATCTTTTTCCCCTAACAATCAAGATCAAATATATACAGAGATCCACTGTCTAATTTTCAGGCAGACACTTCAAATAACTGTCAGAGCTGATAAGTGCCAACCAGTCAACCAATTAATGGCACTATAGCAAGTTAATGACAGGGCCAAACATCCATTCCTACCAACATTAGGTTTAAACAGTCAGCTTCACTTCCAATAGCAGCTTGCTTACCCAGCTAAGCGCTGCCACTCTCACACTCTCTCTTCTCTATATATACCACATCAATGGCCACAAATCCACTTAACTCCCCACAAACCCAGCAATTAATCATCAGCTAGCTACAAGGCTGATCAAGATGGGCTCGTCGAGCGACACGGCCTGCACCGTCGCCACGGCGCCTCCTTCCCCGACGCCGACGTCGCCGCCGCCGCAGTTGGCTGCGACGACGACGACGGTGGTGCTCAGCCCGTGCGCCGCGTGCAAGATCCTGCGCCGCCGCTGCGTCGACCGCTGCGTGCTGGCGCCGTACTTCCCGCCAACCGAGCCGCACAAGTTCACCACCGCGCACCGCGTCTTCGGCGCCAGCAACATCATCAAGCTCCTGCAGGCAAGCAGCTATAGCTAGCTAACTCGATCGTGTGCTCGGTGTTGCCGGCCATGGCGAGCTCGCCGTTAATGTCGCCGTCGTGGTTGCAGGAGTTGCCGGAGGAGCAGCGGGCGGACGCGGTGAGCAGCATGGTGTACGAGGCGAACGCGCGGATCCGGGACCCGGTGTACGGCTGCGCGGGGGCCATCTGCCAGCTGCAGAAGCAGGTCAACGACCTCAAGGCGCAGCTGGCGCGCGCCCACGCCGAGCTCGCCGGCGCCCGCGCCCAGCACGCCCACCTCGTCGCGCTCCTCTGCATGGAGATGGCCGCCGCCGCGCCGCCCCAGCACCCCACCACCACCGCCGCCGCCGCCGCCTACTGCGCCGCCGTCGGCGGCGCCGCCTCCCCCGCCGCGCCCGTCGACGCGCTCTACGTCGTCGACGGTGCCGGCGCCGCCGCCATGCAAGCGAGCCCCATCGGCTGGGTCGACGAGCCGCTCTGGACATGAGCTCGCGGCGAGCTAGCTGGCATTCGGCGTTAATTAATCCCACGAAGAAATAATTAACTACTTAATTAATCAAGCTGATCCAATTAGTACTTAAGTGCTACAAGGTGGTTGAGATATGTCAATTAGTATAGAGTCATATTTATATATATGTGAGATATATATAGTATATATATATGCATGTAATTAAAGTTTAATTACTTGATGTAATATATATGTTACCAAATGCAAAGTTAACCAAAGGGTTAACTAGGGTGCAATACTTGAAGAAATATATACTTTGTTAAGTTGGTGTTTCAAAGAACAGTAAGCTAAGGAAAATAAATTGCTAGATTAGGCTACTAAGTTGTACTTTGGTCATGAAAAACAATGGATCTTGTGGAATAAAAGTTCCAGCATGTTGAAGCTGCAACAAGAAGTTAAAAGTATTGACCAATTTTGATGTTACAAGTCATGGATAGATATAGCTAGTTGAATAATTAAGTTGTTCTTTGCTTGACTACGTCGTTTGTGAAAATGATGTCCTTAATTCCCTTCTGTACATGTTGTTAGGCATCAATGCATTTCATATATCATGTAACTTTCCACAAAGGGAGAGATTTTCAAAGTCCAAAAAAAGGAGATAATTTCTTGGTAACCATGGAAGTATTAGTAGAACTAGGAATTAAATTTGACCACCATCAGTTTCTTGAGTGTTAAGTTCAGTCTCATGATGCTTCACCACAAGAAGTATAGCAATTTTCTGGTCTATGTATAATCAAAAGGGATGAAAGATGACCCGCATTTCAATCGATGGTAACCACAAAAGAAGACGGTTAAGAAAGTCTACTATATTTTTTTATCTATACCTGTAATGACTATTATAGTATAGCATGAATAATTGAATTCCCACGTTATCGAAGAAAAAAAGTGGTAAATAAGATCATCCATGCATCTAGGCGGTCGAATAATAACATTTTGGACTAACAGAAGAATTCATGGCATTCACAATTGCTAACTTTCAAATTAGGATTTCAAAATTAAAATTGAGTCTAACAAAGATAAAAATTAAAATTGATCGATTAATTCAGAATATTAAACTTATCAAAGATCTAAGAAACTTAAAAAATGAGACTCTAAGCCGAGTATAACTTTGCATCGATCTGTTAGTTACAAAATTAGAAATTCATTTTATGAAAAAAAAATGAGACTCGATCCGCACCAAGTAAAATATTTATGTTTCTTAATCATGATTCCAGGTCCCTTACGGCTTGATAATTATCAGTTTAATATTTTAATAACAATTAAATCAAAAGGGGCTAAATTGGCCTTGTAATACCAGCAACCTTTTCTTATTTATCAAATTGAAGAACTATTTTATTAAAGAAAAATAGTAAAAATAAGACTATGATAAATATAACTTTGTATTTCTATATCCAATTTTGAAAGTTTTAGCTTCATTCTGTTCATATGGGCAGGTTAAATTCAACTTCATTCTGTCACGGAAATGGGATCCTCTGACTTAACTGTATATCTGCTGCTTCTCTCCAACGAGGCTTAACTAAATTCTAAGTTGAATTCTAAAATATTCATATTAATTTGAATTAGTGGCACGGTGCAAAAGAGTTCAACTCAAAGCTGAACCATGTGCTGAATTAACTTGAGTCCAGTTAGCCAATCATGAAGTGTTCTCTGGTTTATATGCTTATCTCATCTGGCTTATAGAATAAGATTATAAGCAAATGGAATATTATTTAATTATGAATAAAAGACTAATCGATCTGCGCATTGGACACTTGACAGTGTAAACAAAACTCAACTATAACGACCCTAGCTACCACGCTACTATTTATTCCTGTTCATATATATGGTCTGATGCAGAAGTGATCGATGCATCTTACTAATGATTGGTAGGTCAGGCACAATGCAGTAATTAATTAAACGAATTAATTAATTAAAAATTATACGAGTGGCATATTCATGCCGTATGCAAGCAACAACTGGAGTACATGTATTTCAAAACGACGTCAAATCTATAATCCCAGTTGATTGACTAGTTGCCCTCGATCGTACGGTGTTTAAAATTTGAAATGTATTTATACGAAGCGTGCCGGCCAAATACTGATCAAATTAATTTAAGTTTCAGTACATATGCATGCATTATATTCTCCATACTTGACGTGGCATTAGTAACTTTTTCCCCTTGTTTTCTAGCTTCTAGTATTTCTTAGGCAACTCCCAAGAGATGAAATATCTGCAACATGCACTAGTTTGCATCATCTAATGACAAAAATTATTAGGAAGAAAACAAGTTAAACTACTATCAAACACGCATTCATGACAACATGCATGAAGTAGCTTAGTAGAGAGGAGATATATGTGCATTGTACATTGACCTAACTTAGGTTTACCTAGTAGATGAAAAAATTCCTCAGCAACACAAGTGGCAGGTTAAAGTACATGGATCTAACTACTCTACTCTACAGATCTACTCTACCATCTAGGTTAATTACATATATATCTGCATGAAAAATGTTCATCTCCTCAATTTTCCTAGTTGTCTGTCTAATCATCTTGCATTAGGGATTTCCAAGTTAATTTTTCTTTCCAACAGAAATGAGAAGAAGGCAACAAGAGTGGCAACCTAAATAACAACCTTATCTAGACCAGATGCAAATGGCTCCAAACCCAATGCCAAACTAGAGCAATGTACATGCCACATGATCCAACCTATTGCTCATCAAATGTGGAAGACAGACATATGCATGGTGAACTCCTAGCTTAATTAGGTTTGATTTGTAAATGTGTCTAGCGTTGGTCGAGCTGAAATGAAATACAGCCAGCTTTGCACTGATCCCAATTGTTTAGTTAATTAATTTGGCATGCAGAAGAATCCTTGAAAATGTTGGCAACAGCTACTGTGGGACTTGACGCAAAAACGAGTACAATATTGTACGGTGTATTGTCGGATGCCACTAATTAACATGTGTTTCATGGCATTTTCTTATTCTTTTTACGTACTCTTTGTGATGCTGCTGAGTTAATTACTACAACTAATTTGATGTCTGAACATGTCATACATTAGTGGAAGCTAGCACTGTCTATGCATGATCTGCAACTCTGAAGTTCTGCCACTGACTGAATTTTTTCTGCTCTGTCAACCAACCAAATGAGCAGGGCAGCTAGCTGCCGACATTTTCTTTCCATGCATGCACAAATTCACAATTCGTATGAACCTTTGTCGACATTTATATCCAGTTCCTCCAGTTCAAAATAACACTTTGTCACCAAAATTTGGGGGAGATTTGTTGATGCAAGAGGGGACATGGACATAATCTCTGACCATTGCTGAACAATCAGTAGCCAAAAACGTCAACTGGAGTCAGTGTCCGTTCATAGGGAGCTTCTTCCATCCTTTGACCCAGATGTAACACGTATCGCTAAACAACAAAGAAATTGCTGATCATGAGGGGATCACGTTTCAGCATAAGATCAAAGAAATGTGTTTGAACTGGAGAAAGAACACATCTATCTCATGTCATAAACTAAACCTAACTGGATTGCTGAATGTCAAATGCACACTACTTTTCTTCTTATTAACACCACATGGGGGCCAGTCCTTTCTCTGATCCAATCTCTTCTCTCTTAACTGGAATCATGTGCTTTGATTGGGGTTTGGAGAAGAAAGAGCTTGATTTTTCTACATGACAATAGTTAGTTAAGAGGTTTGGACATGTGGTTAATCTGCATTGCTTGTGCTGGGCTCACTGCATTCTAACTGGCATGCATTGTTTGAATAATTGATTCATATGTCTTATCATTATTTCTTCTCAACTTTTGGACTTGCAGAGTGATAACTGGTAAGCAAGCAAGCTCTTCACAATCATATGGCATTCTAGAAAGAATCTTTAGTGAGCTTGTGTGAACTCTGGACCGACCAATGATGATTTGATTTCCCACTGGACTGGTATAATTAATGGGCTCTTTTGTTTCTATGGAATTTTGCGAAAAAATATATATGAAGGATTTCAATTCATATAGGACTATTTGTTGTTTTACATTTGTCCTAAATCAAACATATCTATCTTTGACCATTAAATTTTAGAAATCCGTTTTGCTTAACAATATATATTATATGAAAGTATTTCACACGGTGGATATAAAATATAAATCTTATGATGCAAAATCATAACTATATAGAAATTGATGGTTAAATATTAAAATGTTTGATTTGTGATAAGCCTAGACCAACAGGTAATTTGAAATGGAGGGAGCACACAATTTGTGTCCAAACACCCCATCTCTTTTTTCTATTACTAGTATACTCAAACTAAGATATTTTTTTTTAATTTTTACACTTTTTTAAATAAATATTTACAAAAATATTTTTTTCGTTTTGAAAATTTATAAATCTAGGCGTATCACGTTTAAAAATCGCCTTTCTAGAGGGCGTCTAGAGGCCTAAATTATTGTTGTAAATATTTTAATAAAAAAATGTGTAAAATAAAAAAAAAAGTTCCTCAAACTAACTAGGCTGAAAACCCCACGGCCCAAATGGTTGAAAAGGACCACGAATAATGGGCCGCCAGGACAATTCACTAGCAGGCCTTAATTTCCGGCCCACTAGTGAGCCAAGGTGAGTCACCCACCCACCCACCCAGCCACCCCCACACGCAGTGACGCAGACGCAGCCGAATCCGAGGAGAAGAGAGAGAAAGCGCGTGGCCGGCGGCGAGAGGAGCGGCGGCGATGGGCGGCGGCGGGCACGGCGGCGGCACGACGTACAAGGGGTACACCATCCCCCACAACAAGCGCTGGCACACCGTCGCCGGCAAGGGCCTCTGCGCCGTCATGTGGTACGCACCGCACGCATCCCTCGCTCGCCCATTTCCCCCCCAAATCTGGGCCTGCATCCTCGCCGACCGGATGAGATCCGTCCCTCCTCTACCAGACCCTAGATTCGTTCGTTCTACTGCTCAACTACTGCTTGTGCGCGATCGATTAGTTATATTAGAGAGGAATTCGATTGCAGTTAAACGTTTACTCAATTTGGGGATCTCTCAAATCCTCTCGTTTGGTCCATATGGGACTCATCTTTGTATCGGAAGATTTCCTCATGGAGTAGAATAGTCATCGATATCAACGCTGCTCGCGCTCCTTCTTCTTGGATAGGCAACGGCAGCGGCAGCGGCAGCATATCATTATTGATTTCACGATTTAGGCTCTCCGGGAGTTTGGTTATGAATTACAATATTATGCTGTAGCAAATTTTAGACTCCTTTTAGCTAGCTTTTAACCACCTTTTTCATCCATGCATTTTTTTCACAACTCTGGGAAGAATCACAGTATTTGGCTAGCTTGAAACGCCTTTGGTTCAAACCAATGTTTTGTTATTTCATCGTTTTGCAACCTTTATTCACAACACATGAATAAGAAAGCATTAGGCACGATAAGGACAACCAACCATATGGCTAATTATTCTTGTTTCTATCTCCATTGTATCCATTGTGATTTGTGAAACGGGACTAGCTTTAAGATTTGGACAAACTACTATGTCACCTTGAGGTCGTCATTAAACATCACTTCAGGGGGAAAAACATCCTCTGAGAATAAATGATTTGTACTATTAAACCCATCGCCAACTAATACTAATCACTGGCAACTAAAACAACCAAGCACTTATAATTATTAAGCAAATCTGATATGAGCTCCATGCCCAGTCAAGGGTCTACTGGAGGGTACCGTCCTGCCTGAATGTCACAACTTTATAATAAAATCAATCTACAAAGATGCATGATAGTGTTGTCCTTAGTTCTTTTGTCCACTCTATTCTTCGCCAGACATTTTCTTATGCTTCTCGATGAAGTCATTTGCTCATTTGCAGCCTACTGTTAAGCTTCTGCTTGAATAGCTTATCATGGCAGCATGAGTATAGAAATCTCATTGTTAACACGCTTGCATTTTGTTTTAATTTACATTTTAAAAAGGTAACCCGTAACCTACCTTTCATTGCAAGACAGTAACCAAATTTGTCTTTAATTCCATTTTTTTTCCTGTCATTTCAAGCATATCCAATTATGAACAGTTACAGATGTTTGCTTATGACTAAGATTTTCTAATACCATGGATTTTCTACTTGTTTACATTTATAACCCAAGTCTTGTCTGTACAGGTTTTGGGTTTTCTACAGGGCTAAGCAGGACGGTGCTGTTCTCTTGGTAATATAATCTTTCGATTTCCTCGATCTTGAGTTGTGTTGATTCATCTCTTTTTAATAAATAATAATGTTTTCAGGGCATGCGTCATCCTTGGGATGGTCATGATGATCACTCACATGGTCATGGGCATGAGCATGAGGTAACCTTCTGGCCCGTTTGTACTGTGGCATACTAGTCCATGTTTGAACTACCTTTTGTCAATATGAAACCCATGGGGCTGTGGTGCTTGGTTATTCTTTCTTTCTTTCTTTTTTTTTTGTTTTTGATAATCGAGAATGTGAAAACTGCAAGGGGATGAATAATGGAAAATAGCTAAAATTTTGCATTCTTGTGTATCTCCGTGCCCTGTAACATTTGTAGGCACCTCTTGACCACTAGTCACAAAAACGTCAGATTTGCAATTTTGCCACGTATAAGTGGATGGCATTTGTTCTTCTGCGGTTTTGCCACATATGTATGTATGACATGTGGACATGTGACCCGGGGACCTCGTTGTCATTAGCTTGGGGTGTGCCTACTGCCTAGTGAGCAAACGCCACTTAACTATGGGGCAAAAGAGAAAATCTACCATCAGTTAGTGGGGTATCAGTTACATGTAAATGTGGTACTGGTTTTTGTGCGTGATGGAACTTCATGGAGCTACCAAATGGATCAGATGAGGTAATCCTGAACTGTAGTGATGTTCTGCTGGGTTTGACATGTGAAATGCCCAAGCATATTGATTATCGATAGGGCCTTTATCTTTGACTTCTGCTAGCAATGCCTGCTTCACTGCTTGACAATGTCCAATGCCCAGTCTGTAGTGATAACCTGATCCTGTGTCTTTAAATCAGAGAAGTAACGGATTTGTAATTGTTTTGCGCAGGGATCATCATCAACATCGTCGTCTCACTAAATCAACTGCTTCTTGGCGGCTGAGGGAGACTCGCTGCTTTGGTTGTCGCGATGAAATCCTCGAAGATAATAAAGTTTCACACTATTAATTTTATTAAGATGGGTTCATGTTGTTGGCAACTGTTTAAGGCAAACTGGTTATGTATTTTGCTTTTGAGATAGCCTCCCTCGATGGAAAACCCATGTATGTTGTTGCTTATTAGGCTGTGTACATCCTTTTGGATGTAGAGGCTGGGTTTTTAATCCATTATCTAAAAAAATGTTGTTGCTTCTTGTGATCATTTTACAGCTGTTACAAATTCCAGTTGATACCCATTTTCCTTTTACCTACTATACTTCCCTCCCGACAAGAATGCAATTCCCGCTATGCGCCTGAGCATTCCCTTGTCTAGATGAATAGCCAGAATTGCGTTATTTTTGGACGGAGGTAGTAGAATCCATAGAGGGAATTTTCTCCATAGAATGCCGCAGCACATAGTATTCGTTCATGGTTACAACTTACAACAAATGACTGAAGCAGGTGGTTCATAACACTGAAGATTCATCTGTCGCTGGATCACAACACTGTAGCCCACAATAGTAGGGAAGTTTTTGATTATACCCGGTGTCACATCGATGCCTCAACCATGTCTATGTTGTTATACAGAAGAAAAAAAAATTGTTCCATCAGAAAACAAAGAACATAACTGTGCAGTTGTTAGACGATCTAAGATCATCATATTGCGCAATACCTGATCAGCAATCATCATAACATGGTCAACCATTTTAATTTTTAATAATGGAAACAAAGTAAAAGAAAGAGAGAGAGAGAGAGAGAGAGAGAGAAGGAACTACAGAGCAATACATTCATCATGTACATGATGATAACATATTCATCTAAGATTATGCCAAATCAAAATCTCCAATGGTACAGCACAATACATTGCTAAATGAGGGAACTACTCTTGTTTCTTGCAGATCTCATCTTGTACCCAGTACACAACAGACCTAACCCTAAACACTATAGCAAGCACAAAACCAAACCAGACTGAACATTCTGAAACAAGAACTACTTTCCTTTTTCACCACCCAAAGTGTAGCTGATTCCACATTCCAGTAAATAATATATAAGAGATTCAGACAGAGCCTTAGCACCACCAATTGTGGTCTTTTTGTACAGGCAAAGGGGCAAAGGCTCCCAGTTCTTCACTATCTCAGAACTGGAACCTGCTAGGTTGAGTCTTGGTCATCCTTGCCATACCAAACGGCTCGTCGTTTTCGATCCTCCTGGCGTTGCGGAAAGCGGCACAGCCAGCAACATACACGATGACGAGGATGATCAGCACGACGATGTTGAGGATGGCAACCTTACGCCAGCTCTTCTTGATGCCAGCGAGGACGCCTGCCTTGCAGGAGTCACACTGGAAGCAAAGCGTCTGCTGGTCATTGCTCCACTTGCTGCAGTCCACATCATTCACGACGGTCGGAACGCCAGGGTTTGCGGTCCAGAACGTTTCGTTAACATAGTTGTATGCACACGATGTTGGTGGCTTGCAGCATCCAGACTGCAAATGTCAAGTCATGAAATGGTGTTAGCATATAATCCAAACTAGATATTCAGAACTTCGCTCCTATGGTTTTACTATCCTAATGGACATGAAAGGAAGTGACAAGACAACAAAATGCATATTTACAGAATGTAGTTTTACAAGCAAAACATCATAGCTCATTGACTGTAATTCACTCCTGGAAATCCCCCCCCCCCCCAAACACACACACAAAAAGGAACATTTTGTTGATCAGAACCCAAATCAACATCATTAACCAGAAATATTCAGCGTTAGAATTTAAGTTCTTGCAACTTGTTCATGGGGACAACTGGTGTAAATGTGCACTTAAAAAATTTGACTAGTACATACTCCCTCCGTCCCAAAAAAAGACAAACCCTGGTTTCCGTGCCCAACGTTTGACCGTCCGTCTTATTTAAAAAAATTATGAAAAAAATTAAAAAGACAAGTCACGCATAAAATATTAATCATGTTTTATCATCTAACAACAATGAAAATACGAATTATAAAAAAATTTCATATAAGACGGACCGTCAAAGTTGGACACGGAAACCCATGGTTTGTCTTTTTTTGGGATGGAGGGAGTAACATTTTTTTAGATATGGAAGAACTAGTATAATTTATCTACAGGTAGCTTTACATCCAACATAAATTGAAATGAATAGAACTACAATAGCACTAGCTTAACAACACAAACTGAGCATTTTAAAGTACCCCATAGATTGGGACAGTATGTACAAATTTGGGGAGCAATTATCCATTTTCCATCACCTTAGACTGCCAAGTCTTGTCGACAGCAACAAACACAAATATAACCGAATACATAAAAAGATATCCTATATTCAACACAAAATTGATGGTGCCAGTTCGATTAGAGATCAAACATGCATATGTCTACATGAAAAGGGAAAACAAAGCAATCCGACTCTAAATTAAGGGAAACCACGAACCAACTTTGAATGCTTTCATGGTCAGGACATGTCCTACAAAGTACAAAGTATGTACCCATGCACATTAAACTATACAAATTTCTTGGCTCCATCAAAGTAGGCCTATAAAGACATGGGCAACAGCTAATCTGTATAAGAATATTTATGCAATCCATAGCATACCAGTACAGTACAGTCTCCGGTGAAAGACTACAAGAGAAATGGGTTTTTTTTTTTTTCATGTGATCTGTGAAATTGTAGCAAAAAAAAAAAAGACTGGCAGTTACAGAAGACAGCAACGAGAATATAAAGGACAAACAAGGCAAGGCTTCCATGGTCCAATTCCAACTCTCAAATGAGGCACCTAGCAACCGGCTTTTAGCTGTCCTGATCGCATTTTGTTGTGTTGGGTAAGAAGCGAGAGGCCGTGATCCCTTCAATCATGCTAATGCTGTGGTCCACCTTGTCTTTTGGTATCCAGAAAAGAAGAGAGAAAAAGCTAGGAAAATGACCTTGTCCTCAGCATCACAGCATATTGCAGATTCTACTTCTTACCACTGCAATAGTGGCAACTCTGAAACGTCTTAGTATTATTTGGTCTTAGCAATTGCACCAGCAAGGTCACCTAAGGGGAAAAAAATAAACGACATAGACAAAGACTCAAATCGACCAGGCAGTCAATTCTTGTCACATAGGTTTCTTTTGGTGCATAGCCTGGAGTTGGAGGTACCAACTTGCTCCATAAAAAAGGACACTGCTTTGAGGGAGTTGTACACACTTCAAAGATTGCTTTGAGGGAGTTAATCATTCAAGATTTGAAGTCTGAATCACCCTAAATAGGATGTACTTAGGGCGCGCCGCATGGAATTTAGACAAAATTCCTTGCAATTTGAAGCAGTTCAATAAACTATTAAAGCAAGAAAAAAGATTGCTTTTGAAGAAAGGTATCCGGTGGAATCGAAGGACGGGTGCGGCTAAAGGTTTGTGATTTTCTTGCTGCTTTGGCCAAATCATGGGCAAGCAAAAGGTTGCAGGATTAACAATTTCTCGAAGGTGCAAGCTGATGCAGGAACAAAAATATTTTAAAGGGCCATATGACTTGCTAAGCAAAAGGGGGGCTGCTGATGAAAGTGGTAAGCAAAGCAGCACATCTTGAGATCCACATGGGTACCATGCAGTGATAACTGGGAATATCCTAACCAAACTTTACAACAAGAAATCAGAAAACAGTATAGGTGGTTGTTCCCTTCCTTCAAATTGAATCAATAATCCAATCAAGACCGACCCCAAAAATGCAAATCTTTCCCCTAATTGATGAATAGAGCTCCATAAAAATGCAAATCTTTCCCTAATCCTCTCTTATTTTTGTGCCACAAAATCCCAGCCTTTTCTACACTGACCTGTAGTTGGCAATGGATAAACTGCTAATGCCCATCTAATCCATCCAAAACTCACCAAGAATCCAACCTTTCAACTCCAGAACGCCTAAAAACACATCGATTCTCCGCTATTTTTAGCTCCTTATTAATTCAGTTCATTTGGACCAAACAGGAACAAATCAAAAAAGAAGTCAGTTTCCTTTCCCCCCTCTCTGAGCGCGTCACAACTACGCCAACTTCCAAAATCCGAATCGCATCAGAAGCAGCAGCAGTCAATCTCCTCAAGAACTGACGAATCAAGAGAGAGAGAGAGAGGAGAGAGAGAGAGAGAGAGAGAGAGGGAGAGAGATTGTGGTGGTGACCTGGATGGGGGAGAGGTCGCGGGCGTAGAACATGGAGGGGGTCTCGGGGACGAGCATGCCGGTGTTGGGGTCGCGGGCGAAGCGGCGCATGGCGGCGCAGGCGCGGCCGTCGCGGAGGCAGGCGCTGATGGTGGCCCAGTAGGCGGGGTCGGCGACGCGGTCGCGGAGCCATCCGTTGTAGTCGGAGAGCTGGTACTCGAGGAACCGCCGGTTCATCACCACCTGGCCGTCGCCGCGGTCGGTGACGGCGAAGGCGAAGACGATGAAGAAGAGGAGGGCGACGACGATGAAGAACATGGCGAAGAGGTAGAGGCGGAGCAGCCACGTCTGGCGGTAGCACGCCCCCGCGAACCCCATGAGGGACACCACCATGACGGCGAGCCCGATGGCGATGATCGGCCACTGCAGGAAGCGGATGCAGTCGGTGGAGTTGGCCCTCGACGCCAGCCAGATTCCTCCCCCCAGGATCGGGATCGAGATCAGGAACGTCACGAAGTTGACGATCCCCAGCAAGCTCGTCCCTCCTCGCAACATCCTTGCTCTTGCTCTTCTCCTTCTTCTTGAATCAAACCACCACCTCCTCTTCTCCTGCTTCAATTCTTGGACTCCTCCTCCTCTGCTTCCTCTTCTTCTCTCTCTGCTTCTTGCTCTGCAACTGCAAATGCGAGGGGGAGAGGAGAGGAGAGGGGAGAGGCGGTTGGGGGGTTGGTTTTTAGCGAGAGGAGCAGCTGCAGCTTCAGCTCCAGCGGCAGCAGCAACAGAAGCGCGGAGAGAGAGTGTGTGTGGGAGTGGGGCGTATTATACGTCGACGTCGGCAGTAGGAATACGTATACGTGTATACGTACTCTAATTTATTTCGTGTAATTTCTTCCGTCCTAAATGTAGGAGTATTATATTTCACGTTTAGAGTAAGATTTTTTTTTCCAAAACGCAATAAAGATATGAACACGTCTCTAGGCATACGCACGTACATCATAGTAGAATGAGCATATCTGTATGACTGTAACGATACATTTCGATATCGACGGAGTCATCCGAATAAATACCTCCCAGAGATTATGCTGGAATATTTTTAATATTAACAAAGTCACCATGTACATACAACCGCTCACATTTAGTATATCGCATAACACTTGAAAACAATTTGCCATGAATACAATAACTTATGGACCTATGTTTAACCTCTGTAACTGATTCCAAAAAAAAAAAGCTAGTAACTACCCAGGTCACGATTATATCAAGATTTTAAAACTATGACTAAGTTTATAAAATGTAATGGTTCTATAACATTGTGATATTACCTTTTATGCATATGATTTTTTTATAAATTATTAGTGGATAAGTTTTAAAATTTAAACTAAATCATATCTAAAACGTTAATTAAATACGGAGTGTTTGTAAACAGGGATAGTATAGCAGGTGGGAGAATTGCTCGGTTGCTTTTTGACTTTATACGGCTTGGGCGTCCAATGTACGTACTCCTTTGCTGCTACTCGTACTAATCGTATCAGGTTTTCACTGGTGAAAGTGATTGATTCCACTGCTTTGCAATATTGAAAACGAATCACAGTTCACAGCCACATGGTTTTTTTCTCGATTATCGATGATTACACGTTTCCATGATTTACTTGGTAACAACATCAAACATGGACGGTGCCTACGAATGTGATGTTTGCCTGAAAATAGGTGGCAAAGTCTGGGTATTTCACATTTGTTGTTGAAAATACTTTAATCCGAAATGGAGTAATGTTCAACATTTTTCTTAAATTAAAGGCTTTCGTCCAGCTTTTTACTGAAAACATAGGAGTTCGATATACTGGTAAAATGTGAAAATTACGCAATTGAGGCTGTGTAAGATAAATCTACATTAGTGTCCTATTTGGAATCATGATGATTTCATAACTAAAATGTCTCAAAAAATTTTACCAGTTCAGTTATTTTCTATGTAGAAAAATTAGGAATTTTCCATCCACAAAGGTAGGGCATACAAGTGGATCCCATGATACCTTAATTTCTCTAGTATTACATGACAGGGCATGGTTGCTAGGTTACTCTCTAAGATATAGAAAAATGGTGCAAGTTGGATTATTCAACAGCTAATCCACCTGAAAATGATGAGGAAAGCAGGCACATGCATGTGCAATGGAGTGACTACACAGCAATAAATATGAAATTTCGACTTGATGCCAGGTCAACATCGATCGATTCTGAACCAACATTTAGATAATTCGATGGTTACACTGTTACACTAACTAACACTACTTACTTAAATACAAAAAAGGAGTTTCTTAATACATCAAGTGGACTTGTAGTGTTAGTTAGTCAATAACTAGTTATGGGTCATGAGGTGCAGTGTGTGTACATCATGGGCAGCACAAGATGGGACATTGCAGGGCATTTACATGACACATCTAGTCCATAAATATAAAATATTTTAAAAACAATGTAAAGATAAATAGTTTTATTTAACTTTGACAATCAATAGATAAAAGTATAAAAATTTACGGCGTAAAAATGATGTAACTAGATTTATCGTGAAACAAATTATTGTAATATATATGCAACTATATTTATTTAAAATAATTTATATTTGTATAAATTATTTTAGTCAAAGCAACGTATCGAAAACGATGTCCTCCAATATTTTATATTTGTGAACCGAGAGTAGTACAAAGTGTGATCCTACTGATATCATGTTAAAGTATTCCTTCCTTTCATAAGAGAAGAAAATATCTTTTTGATTTTTCAAGTATAGAACATGTGAGTCACGCATATGAGAATGACAAGTCCTTTTGGATCAAGGAAAAAACCCTCAGGAATATGGGGATGGAGACAAAGTTGATGATAGAACATCCGGGGCAAAGGGATATATACAAAGGACCAGAACTCATTTTCATGCTGATCTTTGAGGGGTACCAATGAACATGGCCAGATACTCTCCATTTCAGAGAAAGATGTATTGTACACTAAAATGAACTCAAAGTGTTATATGTGTGTGGCAAACTTCTCAAAGTAAAAGGTAGTATGATCCATGAAAGAGATAGAGAGGGGAATGGGATTAAATGTTGTATAGAAAGATGAATGGTTTTCTTTCCTTTCTACTACCTCCATCCCAGCTTAGTTGTCGCTTTGACTTTTTTTAACGTTTGACCATTCGTTTTATTTGAAAAATTAGTATAAATATAAAAAATGATAAGTTATAATTAAAATACTATTAATAAAAAAGCAAATCACAAACAAAATAAATAATAATTTTTATTTTTTTAATAAGATGAATGATCAAAAGTTATAAAAAGACTCAAAGCGACAAGTATTTTGGGACGGAGGTAGTACTCTAGATAAGATGATGCTAACGAGAGCTTGTTAGGTTTGCTACCATGCCAATGTCAAATCATACGCAAGTCTGGTTAACGCTAATATTTTAACAATACAAATGTGTTATAAATAAATATCGATAGCAAATCAAATATTAACAAATTACTATTTAATATATTAATATTTTGGTAGGAAAGATATTTAATATACCAATATTCTGTTACTGCAGATATTGACTTCAAACAGAACATGCTCTAAGATTTCGAATTTGTTTCTTGATACTCTACATCTCAAAATTATTTATCTATTTTGCGAACATCAATTTCAATTGCAGCAAGTAAGAAAAATAAGACAACAAAACAACAAATACATAATTAAGTAAAAAAATGAACCGTGTCTTGTAAACTGTGTCTACGAATTAAACATATATTCTCTATGTCCGAAATGCTTGGTCCATTTTATAAACTACTTCCTCCGTTTCATAATGTAAGTCATTTTAGTATTTCACACATTCATATTGTATTTAATGAATCCATACATATATATCTATCTAAATTCATTAACATCAATATAAATGTGAAAAATACCAGAATAACTTACATTGTAAAATGGAGAAAGTACGACTCTAAAAAATTAGCAGCGTCGTTATGTAAATCGGAGAACTAACTCGAAGTAACAATAATGATTACGCATGACGAAATTACGAGTAAACTACTCCTAATTTGACTCCTTTGTCAATTGTCACGCTCACCATCGACACATCACAAGGCAAATTAAACCACCAACATTCCAACAACCGGCACCGGCAAAACTGGCGACCAATGGCCGCGCGTGACGTGTCACCCCCAAGGGCGCCACGTCGACGCACCTACATCAGCCTTGGCAGGTTACGTGTCGAGGGTCCACGGAGCCACGTGGCACCATCCTGCCGGTTGGTTGGCGTCATGAGCTGACTCTGATGATGGAGCACCAACCGGATAAGCTAGAGCAACAGTGCCCACCTGCCACGTATGAATTACTTATCCATTGCGTCATCCTCTATAACAGAATATGTGCCCTGTTTAATTACTGCTCCATCCATTTTACAATTTCCATCCGTTGATGATTTGACTTTTTTCAAACTTCTTTAAATTTAGTTTAAACTATAGAGAGATAATATTTTTAACACTAAATAAACATCCTATGAAAATGTAATGTTAGACTTAATGAAACTAATTTAATTTTTTAAGAGTTATTACATTTCTCTATACATGCTATAGTTATTGAGGTTTAACGTAAAAAAAGTCAAAATAGTTTACAATATGAATTACATATGTAGCTAAAAATCATTCTGTATGTTATACAAATCTTTTGCTTCTGGCTAGGATGTGGACCCAAGCGAATAAAGGGACGATGTTTTTTTTTTTCTTTTTTTTCTCGAAACTCAATATAAACACATACGCAAGCTCAAGCTCACCCTTTATAAACTCAAACACATGTACGCTACATCTATGAGCTATAAAAGATTGGTTAGTATATTTTAAAGATTGAAGATGTCACTATGATGTTTCGTTGTTGAGTGTTATATTGTGAGATGTGTAAGTTTCACTAAAAAAAAAACTTTTTTCATTTTTTTTCTCTTCCTAGGAAGAGATGGACTTAACCAGTTTGACTATCAGAGTAGAAGTAATGTATTTTCTCTAGTAACATCTTTATGGAGCATATAGCCCTATACTACTTTTAAAAAAATTAAAGATAGGTTGACCTAAGTGCGTAGTATGGGCATCTCGTGGCCAAGATATCAGCAGTGGACTGGTTGCACCGGCCAAAGAAGAACAATTCTGTTAGATCAAGGACTAAAATCAATTAAAATACAAATAGAACAGATCATAGCATTGCATTGCATTGCACTGCATTCCAGCAGGTTCAGTCATGGGTCATGCAGGTTGCAGAAACAAGTTACAGTAAGATTCTCCCGTCTCGTGTGTAACGTACCTACGTGTTCGATCATGCCTGGTCGGTGGACATGTTGCTTCTCTTTGCTTACTCATTACTCATTCCGTCCAAAAAAAAAAAAAGACAGACTCTGGTTTCCGTGTCTAACGTTTGACCGTCCGTCTTATTTAAAAAAATTATGAAAAAAAATTAAAAAGACAAGTCACGCATAAAGTATTAATCATGTTTTATCATCTATCAACAATGAAAATACTAATTATAAAAAAAATTTATATAAAACGGACAGTAAAACGTTGACACAGGAACCCACATTTTATCTTTTTTTTTGACGGAGGGAGTAAGTACTTACTAATATAAGTAGTTTACTTGTTAGGAGGTTTACTGTACACAGATGGAAGTTCCTGTGCTTTGCTTGTAGTACTAGCTACCTCTACTCAATTTCCAGGTAGAGCAATTGCTATGGACTATTTATTGGATTATTATCATGAATCATCTAGTTAGTTGTAGAAATATATTAAATATTTTTAAGTAAAGTTAACAATAGTTTATAATAACTTAAATCAAGTATTCTAATTAAGTAATACAGCACAAGAATTTTTTTTAAAAAAAGTGATTTCATAAGTATTCGAAACAAATAATCTTCAACAACAACTTGGTGAAAAAGCTAAAAAAATAGTATAATAATGAAAGGTCTCCTAGGTAACAGTATATCAATCCTGATTATATTTCATACTCTCTTTAATTCCCAGAACATATACATCTCTCCTGCATCTGTGCAGCGTGTTTAGATCTAGAGGTGTAAAGTTTTGACGTATCAAATTGGGTAATATATAGGGTGTCGCATGGTGTATTCGGACACTAATAAAAAAACTATAATTACAGAATTCGTCAGTAAACAGCGAGATGATTTATCAAGCCTAATTAATCCGTCATTAGCAAATATTTATTGTAGCACTACATTGTCAATTCATAGAGTAATTAGGCTTAAAAGATTCGTCTCGTAAATTAGTCGCAATCTATACAATTAATTATTTTTAGTCTATATTTAATACTTCATGCAGGTGTCAAATATTTGATGTGACAGTGTGTAAAATTTGCGTGTGGGGGCTAAACAGGGCATTAGAAATGACGAAAAGGATGGCAGAATTAATTGGTTGATAAGGATGTTAAAATTTATTAATCGTCAAGCAGTTAAGTCAGATCATCTCTCACGAAATGCCTGCGTCATCAGGGATCTCGATCATATAGATATTAGTTATGCAGGGCTCGGATAAGAGAAGGACAACTCGATCGATTACTTTTTTTTTTTACAAATATACGCGAATCCATGAAAAGCTACTGATAAATTCAGTGGATATTCGATTACAATCTGAAAAGGATAACAAAAAAAAAGGGCATACAAATCAGACTACAATATTCCTTCTCTGCTTGCTATTGACGCGCAGATAGACTTTTGACGCTAACCAGCTCCTGCCTTTGGATGAACAGATATACACACATGATTCGCCCTTCCACCTTAAGCTTAACTAGCCGTATTTGCAACACGAATTGTTAAGTTTAAACCTATTTTTAAATAAAATTAGAATTAATGTGTCTACGTACCAAGATTTTGTTCATGAATTAGTGAAAATGTGCAAGAGCTCTATTTGCCTCTCCTATTCTATGAGTCATTTCCCTTCTGCGTATGGCACCCTACCTTCTTTGGCATCATCTAATTTGAAACTTAATTTGAAAGCCATATTTTAATCTAGATGTTTTTGGGATGCTTTTAATAACCAACTAATGACAAATGTTCTTCCTTGTTTAGATTCTATTTCAATCGAAACTTTCCGCGTTGATCCTGGTATTCGAGTACTTTATTGAAGAAATATACAAAGATAAAATTTCTCTATCCTAAAATATAAGATATTTTAAAAATATTATATTTTGCGTATGAAGGTAGTAATCGCTATTGTGAAGACACGAATGTTCATATTTACGCCTAATTATTTTTCAGTGGTAAAAGAACATATCTGTCACAGTAGAATACATATGGCCTCAGCCATTCTTTAAAAGATATCATTACGGATAGGACGTATGTGTATATGAGTTTGTACGTATGAGCAGCTGCACTACTTTGAAAGAAACGTATTTTTTGGGTTACACTAGCTAGAGAATTACTTCCTCCGTTACAGCTGCAATCTTAGAATAAAATTTGACCTATTCTAAAACGTTGAATCTAGACTAACCTATATATAGATTCGTTATTTTATGATAAGTCAAATCCCATATAAAACTAATAGTATAGTTTACTACTAACTCTAAATTATTTATAGTTAATTTAATATAGTCAATTCATACAATAGCTACCTATATATTACACTATCGATACATGGTGCCAGATATCATACACACATTGTATTTCGAAGTCCATGCTACAGCTGGCTATAAATTTGTAGTCCGCTGCTTTCCCTTTCTTTTATCTTCTCTTTCCCTTTCTCTTTTATCTTCTCGAAATACTCCCTCCATAAAAAAAAAGACAAACTCTGGGTTTTCGTATCTAACGTTTGACTGCCCGTCTTATAATAATTTTTTTTATATTTAGTACTTTTATTGTTGTTAGATGATAAACATGATTAATACTTTATACGTGACTTGTCTTTTTAATTTTTTTCATAATTTTTTCAAATAAGATGGACGGTCAAACATTAGGTACAGAAACCTAGGGTTTGTCTTTTTTTTACATAAAGAGTATGTTTATAGCTGGATTATATAGCACATGCTCTAACTAATGTTTTGGGACGCACGTACTCCCTCCGTCTCATAAAAAACCAACCACTGAATATGACACATTCCAGTACTACGAATCTGAACGTATTTTTATTCAGATTACTTGTACTAGAATGTATCATATTAAGGTCTAGATTCACCTTCTTGGGAACGGAGTGAGTAGCAGCCTGCTAGTGCAAGCGAGGCAGCAGGACAGGACAGGTGTCCCTGAACCAAAGGCTACGTGCCATGCCAGGGAAGCTTTGAGGTGCCACGTGGCCCAACTTCCTCGATCTGTTCTAGAGTTGTCCTCCAGCTGAGTTCTGCACTTGCTAAACATTTCACACACACACTCAACTTGAGACCATAGCATTCTCAGCTTAGCACCAGCTAGCTAGCTAGCTACCTGAATACTACACTGAAGAAGAATCGATCGATATCTGAAGGAAGTGAAGTAAGTGATGGGTTCAGAGACGTTCTTGGAGATCTTGCTGGCCATCCTGCTGCCGCCGCTCGGCGTCTTCCTCCGCTACGGCATCGGCGTAAGCAGTTCATCCTTCATTCTTGTTTTGTTTGATTTGATTTGATTTTTCATGCATTCTTGCTGGCTGCAGATGGAGTTCTGGATCGCCCTGCTGCTCACCATCCTGGGATACTTACCCGGCATCATCTACGCTGTTTATGTGCTTGTTGCTTAATTAGTTAGTTACTACCAGTGATCTGTTCTGATCGATCGATTATGTTAGTATCATGGTTTAGTTTAGTTGGTTTCTATTATGTAAGTCGTACTAGCTGCTACTTACGGCATGTTCTTCGGTTCCTGCTTGCCTGGATCAGTGGAGCTAGTCGCCTAGACTAGACATCGATCTCTGTAGTTTCTGTCAGCATTCAGAAAAGTGTGATCTGAATTCTGACTTTCTGATGGATCGATGAGTATGGATGATTCATGTGTGATCTGAATGGATGATGATCTTCATGTATGTCTCCGGTTTGTATATTCAGACATTCAGTTTCTTTCTTCCGTGGGTATGATCACAGCAAATTATATCATGTTGTGCGAGATTAATCAATGAAGTATTCTTCGGGGGGAAAAGGATTAATCAATGAAGTAATTGGCGATCGATTATCGTGTTCATGAGCAGTCCTAGTATAAACATGTGACCCCAAACGAAGCTATGCTCGACTAGTTGCTGGGCCGGCCCATGAAACACCAAACAAACACAGTCTACAGAAAAATTTCAACTGCCGCTTGTCTGACGCATGCATCAACAAGCGGGGGTTGCTAGGGCGCGCATGCGCGCCAGAAAAATAGCTGGCGAGCATTTTTATTAGTTAATATACTTAACACTGATGATAGTAATTAGGACTCCTCTTTATTAGTTAATATACTTAACACTGATGATAGTAATTAGGAAAAATTTTGGAGATTTTTTTTTTAGACAGATTGAAAATTTTTTAAGTTAGATTTGAAAACTTTCGATTTAAGTTTTAAATTTTAAAGTTAAATTTTAAAAACTTTCAACTCAGAATTAAAAACTTTTAACTTGAGATTTGAAAACTTTCAACTCAGATTCGAAAACTTTCAACTCGAGAATCGAGATTCGAAAACTTTCAAATCCAGATTTGAAAATTTTGAAAACTTTCAACTCGAGATTCGAAAAATTTCAAATCAAGATTTGAAAATTTTCAACTCAAACTTTAAAAACTTCAGATTTTAAAAAGTTGAAAACTTTCAATTTTAGATTTGAAAACTTTCAAGTCGAGATTTGAAAACTTTTAAGATCAGATTTTTAATTTTCAACTCAAAATTTAAAAACTTTCAAACTCAAAAGATGCTAAAGATAAAAAAAATCAGAAAAAAGAAAGGAAAAGGGGAAAAAGGTAAAAAAGAAACGAAAAAAAAACGCAGAGGAGACGCGCGCGCGCCGGCCATGCGAGATGTCTCCATTCTAAATGGAACTATGCCCTGCCATGCGAGAAAATTAAATATTTTTTGTTTAGACAGCGAGAAATTTGAACATGAAGCAACAAAAGCATGCATTGCATACAGGCCTGATCAGCTAACAACACAAGATCACTCTTGTCAAAGACAGCATGCAGCCCAAAATGTAGATGCTCCTCATCTCCAACATCATTACAAGAGTTCTTAACATTCTTTTTTTACTGCGACCACAGCAGCAAAACCAACTAACCAACCAGTAGTAATTAACTTAACTAGCTTTGATTCACAGTGTTTGCAGCTAAACCCATCCATGGCGTGATCAGATCAGCTCAGCCTAGCTAGTCAGTTTCAGTTCTTTCTAGTACACACACCACACCAAGCTGTCCATGGCGTCGATGGTCACTTGGGGCTCTTCTTCCACAGCCCGCTCATCCGCCGGAGCACGCCGCTGTTGCGCCGCTTCGGCGACTCCTCCTCCGGCTCGTCGGAGAACGGCGAGCTCGCCAGCTTCCCGCCGATCATGGAGTTGGTGTACTCCGCCGGCTCCAGAGACCCCGTCCGCTCCACGTTCCTGCCAATGCCGCCACCGCCTCCTCCCAGCGCCGCCGCCGCTGCCTCGGCCGCCTTGCGCCACTGGTCAGACTGCACCCGGAGGCGCCGCAGCTCGGCCTCCATCTCGACGCTGGCCGCCTGCGCCGCGTCCAGCTGCTCCGACGCCCTGGCGGCGCGCCGGCTGCTCTTGTCGGCCTCCTCCGTCACGTACCCGAGCCGCATCCGGACGTCCTGCTCCGCCGCCTTGGCCAGCTCCAGCTCCGCCACCGCCGCCTCGTACCTCCGCTGCACCTCCGCCGCCTTCTTCCCCGCCTCCGACTTGAGCGTCTCGTTCTCCTCCATCACGCTCTGCAGCGCCGTCTCCTTGTCCATCAGGCTCGCCTTCAGCTCCGTCGCATCGGTGATCGACTTCATCAGCTTCGCCTCAAGCTCTGGCTGCATCACATCGCTCTTCCCGTCACACCTGACAGCCAAAGTGGCCTTCGCTTCAGTGAGCTCATCGTTCTTGCTCTTCAGCTCCAGCTCAAGATCGCGCACTCTGCGGTCGTACTCTGACTTGGCATTCTCCAGCATTTCGTAGGCGGTCTTCGTCTCGATCGTCGTGCGAGTTTGTTCTTCCTGGTACCTAATCTCAGCCACCTCGAGCGCCGTCCGCAGCTGCTCAATCTCTGCGCCAGAACCACCACAGCTGCCATTGCCATTGGGGATAGTTACCACCACCTTCTCCACAGCTTCACCATGATCAGGGCTGCCAAAGCTGCCATCAACATCATCCTTGTTATGTGCCTTCTTCAGATCTTCCTCCAGTGTGGCTAATCGAGCCATGGACTGGCCGAGCTCTGCGTCCTTCGACCTCAGGCATTCTTGCAACCGGGCACCCTCAGCAAGCAGCGAGTCAATAGTAGCTTGTGCCATCTCAAGCTGCTTCTTGGTCTCAGCTGCCACCGCGTTCGCCTCAGCTACAGCCTTGTCGCTCTCGCCAACGTTTACCTTCAGGCCCTCGATGGTCGCAAGCCGGAGCTCCATCTCCTGCTTCAAGCCCTCGAGCTCAGACTCCGCAAACTCGCATTGCTTGGCACGAGCTGCATCAGACTCTGTGGTGGCCCCCAGCTGCTGCTTCAACCTCTGAATTTCAGACAAGGCTGAGCTCAGAGCAGCTGAATCCACTGACTGCTGCTTCTTCACAGCCTCGAGCTCAGACTCCCAAGCACGGTCACGCTCCTGTGAGACCTTCCGCAGTTCCTGGAGTCGGGACTCCTCCGCAGCTGAGAACTCGGCAAGCTGGCGCTGTAGGTCCTCGAGCTTTGAGGTTGCAGCCTGCTCCTGCTTTTTTGCTTCCTCTGCTTCCTGTTGTGTGTGGCGTCTTCGTGACTCCGATAAGCTCAGCTGCTCCTTGGCCTTCTTCAGCTCATCTTGCAGCTGGCTGACCCTGGACTCCAACTCGGACAGCCTACTTGGGCGCTTCTGGAACAGGGTGCAAATTGTTCAGCGAATACCCATTTAAGAAAATTTACACTTACTAAATCAAATAAAGAAAACCACATGACAAAAGAACATGTATTTTTCCTGTGCTAAATGGTTTCTGAAGTCAATCACCATCATTATATTACTTGCTTGCTTACAGGTTAATGAAATATTCAGAATTTGTGTCTGAACATATCATTTCTATAAATAAATCTGCAGTCCCAAAATGTATGTTGTGCTAAAGGTTCACTTGCTTGCCCAAAGCCATTGCAGAATAATGAAATATGCAGAGTTTTGGTGTTGAAACATCTTATGAGAATTTGAGGTGCACTTCTTAAAAAAAAAATATGCTTCTAAGAATCCACCAAGTAGTGAAGTAAACGCGATGCCTGCAAAACATATCAGCACCTCAGTAATTGGGCTTCGTGGTGACCGACGCTCGGTGACCTTAGGGCTCCTCTCTGGAGTGGTTCTTGTTGGTGTGATCCCTGCAGAGTCAGTTTCATTCCCTCCAGTTTTCGCCACCCGAGATGACCGTGGTGTTGCCGGAGAAGCCTTCTGTGGGGCATCTGAAGGCCCATTCCTACACAAATCAATAGCCAAAAAACATGTTATCTAATTGTCTTGAAGATCAACAGACTAACAACAACAATAGAGGTATTCCCCGCAAAAAAAAAAACAACAATAGAGGTATTGAGGGAAACAGAAGTTTAATGATTGTAAGTACTGTAATTAACCGCAAACAGTACACTAAGCATGAAGTTGTTGAACAACCGAGTGTACTGATATACCAACTTTGAAGACAATGTTTTCAAATACCATCTATTAGTGCGGATTTTTTTAGATACAGATCTATTAGTTCACATGCCAGATGATGAAGAGATTGATAACAGGAGCAGTACAATAATCTGAGAAAACAGTTGGCTTACACAAGACTAATCAAGAGTAGTACATCCAAAAACTATTTCACCAGTAGGCAACCTTCACTTGGTTGTGTACAAGATCCAGCAACATGCAAGGTAATACTAGTAAATAAGCACAGGAATGTTCTCATTTTGACTGTTCTAAGTTGCTACCGATGAAAAAAAATGATCTTCCAAAAGAAAAGGCCTAATACTTAGCAAAGATCAAGTACACTAGTGCATTGTAAGATTTATGGTATATTTGGCAAGTAACAATTCATGGAAAATTCAATCTGCAATGGCCCCCCCTACATCAGATCCATTTTAATACACACAACCTTGGATACTACTTAGTACTGTCTGGTCATGGTGTAACCACTGTCTCAGACACGCACATGCATGAGCAGAACTGCATACCTGCTGCGAAAACAAGAGCAAGAGGCAAGATACATGAAAGTTCTAGGACAAAAAAACTAACCTGGTTTTTGAAGTCTGCATAATGAGATCCCTTACCAAATCCTTCTGAGCTCACCTTACTTCTGCAAGAAAGAAAGAAGAAAGAACTCATGAGGTAAGTAATAAAAAAACAAAGTTGCAAGTTAATTACAACTCAAACATGTACGCCAACACAAGATTATCTGGTTGACATTTCACTTGCAAATTGCAAACTTTAAATGCAAGAAAAAGCAAAGTACAGTGGTGAAATTGTACTGTTACCGTATCAAAAGGTACAGGTTATTAGCATAGGCATTTTTTTAGAAGAAACAAACAACAGTTTGGAAAGCTATGGAGTAGCAAAGCCAGTACTTAATAAAATGGCATAGGATCCCACTAATTTGAAATTTTTACAGACCAAGAAAGATGAAAGGAAAGTAATGTGCACTACATTTCTTCTCACACCTGTAACCTCAGGCAGAGGTAACAGTGCACCTAGTTGCCCACAGCCACAACCACAAGGACCCCCAATGGCCTTTGGCAGCAGGAATCCGGCAAACACAGCAGGAACCCATTCACACAACAAATGTAAAAAATTGCAGGAATACCAAACTGCCCTTGATTCATCCAACACCATCAAGATGAACAGCATGGGCTAGAATGGTCATTCTCTCTCAAGAGGGGAATAATAATAGCAGCCTTACATGGAATGGAGCAATAGCACATAGCAGAAAGTAAAGAAAGGGAGGGTCAAAAATTCAAAGTGAGAAGAAGGCTGCAGTAAACTTGCACAGTTACAGAGAAGGCCCTGTGTGTGTGCTGGTGGTAAAGCCATTCTGCCATTATTGTGAATTTGTGATCCCCATGGGTCTAGATCCTGAAATGTGTTTGCCCATGTTTGTAGCTGGTTCAGTGAAGCAATGCATTCATGTGGCAAGAACCTGAGCGGCCAAAGGATTAAAATTCATTGCAGATGGAGTGATGGGAGGACCTGACAGATGCAAGCAGCGTGATTCATGCTCTCAGCTAAAAATATGGGAGCTTTAAACGTTTTAAAAACTGAAACTTATCTGCATTTCTTGCAGTAACGGCAACGCCATTGTATTTCGGATTAAAGCACCGGATTTCTAGTGCTACTATTAACAGTATTAAAGGGTATTTATTGCTAACTCTTTCTCAGGTTGCGGTTTGCAAGAACAAGATGAGAATGAGAAGAAAGAAAAGAAGAGGATTCAAAAGGAATGAACCTTTTTTAAGGAAAGGAATGAACTTACTCCTCAAACCAAATAAACAACGAGACATGAAACAAAGAGTGCAGGAAAAACAAAAGGGATGCAATGCAAAAGGAGCTAGCAAGAAGAAGCCTTTCTTGATCTTTATCCCTAGCTATTGAAACACGCCATGGACATGGAGAAGCCCAGCAACCATGAGAGCTCTCACCCTTTCTTCCTCCTCCTACAACAACAATGGCCATGGTCCATACATACAAAGAACCCAAGAAACAACCCCACAAGACAATACTGCAAGCACACACGCATTTCCGCAAACAGAAGCAGGGCATATAAATCAAAAGCAACACCATTCTCACCTCACCTCTCTCTTGCTCGCTCTCTGGTGATTCTTGGAGCTCCCTCTCCTCCCTCCAACTCCTCTCCTACTGCCTTGCTGCAGCTGCTGCTGCGTGTGTGTTGTCTTCTACTGCTGCTGCTAGTAGAGGAGAGTGGACGAGCTAGCGTTTATGCGGCCGCTGCGCCTGTGCGCCTCGCTGTGCCAAAGCCATGGCCGTTTGCGTGGCTCCGCCGCACGAGGCCGCGCACGTGTCCCGGGGCGCGTGTGGGGGCCCACGAGTCAGTGGCACGTGCGTGGCGCATGGCCCACCTGTCAGTCTCTCCTCTCCTTCCGAGTGTTGCTGGTCTCGAGGAGGAACGGTGTGTGGTGGGCTTTCGGCGACCGGTTGGTTGGTCTGGGTTTACATGTCACTGCAGGGTGGGGGCCACGATGGTGTGAGGCCCACATGTCATTGTCGTGAGGAGGTCAGGTGTCCGGTCAGAGAGGGTTTGGCTCCCCGACAAGAGCTGGTGAGTCAAAGGAAGGGAGGCATCGTCCACTGACCCCAGTAATTTATTGCGAGGAAACTGTGAAAAAATTCCAGCATACTTTGAGAGGGAAAAAAAAAGAAGGATTGGGGGGTGTTCTGCTTTTGGTGCCTTCTTTTCTTTCTTGGGGTGATTGCATCACTGCATCGTAATTAGCGAGCTGTGATTATACTACTACTAGTGTACTAATCCTAGCATAAGATAATCGTAAGAAACGGGTTTTATAATTTTTCACATCATATTTATACGCATGTGAAGAAGATTAAAGAGAAGATAGAAGAAAAACAGATTAATTATTACAAATAATTTGTAGCCAACTATAGCTCAGCTCAAAAAAAAAATATACGAGAGATAGGTGAGCCAGATATTAATAGTGTATTAGTACATATCTAAATCTAATTATTACTCCCTCCGTTTTAAAATATAAGCATTTTTAGTACAGTGACAAGTTAAATATTTTTAACTTTGACTTTTAATAGTAAAAAAAAAAAAAGATTAATCATGTAAAATTGATGTTACTAGATTCATCATCAAACAAACTATCATAATATGTACTCCCTCCATTTCACAATGTAAGTCATTTTAGCATTTTCTCATATTCATATTGATGCTAATGAATCTAGACATATATATCTATCTAGATTCATTAACAACAATATGAATGTGAGAAATGCTAGAATGACTTACATTGTGAAACGGAGGAAGTAATTCTTTTTATTTAAAACATCTTACTTTTATAGATATTGTTGGTCAAAGAAGCATCTTGAAAAACTGTCAAAGTCAAAAAAAAATGCTTATATTTTAGGACGAATAGAGCATATGATTAGGTTATAGTTGTAGATGATAGTTAATTTTTAGAGCTAGCAGTTAGATATGTTATTAAGCAAGCACTCGATTAGGATTGTCTCCTGCGTCGGCTTCTTTACTTGTGTTGAGTAGAGCAGAAATTCTTATAGAAAAAACAAATCAGAATCACATGGGAAGGATTAGTTTTGATTGTGAACAATAATTGTAAACACATTCAAAACAGGTGCTAGAGTATCGAGAGGAACAACAGGTATATTGAATATGATTATATGATACTCCCTTTTCCTAAAATGTAAGTATATTTTAAGTTAGCTACAGGTACTTAATGAAGTAGGTTGAGATTAAATGGAGAAATGTTTTAAAATATATAATTGACGTGTTGTTAAATTATATGAATTTCTCAAAAATAATAGTCAAATTAGATATATTAAACTTTGAACAAAATTAAACGACAATTAGCTTGAAACATTTTTTTTGATGAAATGAGTATATATCTGGTAATTAAGATGCAAGGAGTAATTAAGTTGAAATGTTGCAAGGACAAACCATTCACCCTATCCACTTAGCTTAGCTGACACTTCTTGACACTGCATTGCTGTGACATCAATTATGGGTGCACATATATAGGTAGGATGCAAATAAGACGATAGTGACCTACTGACCTCTGCCCTAAGGCAACCTTCAATCTGCTATACTTATTATAGAACAAGAAAGAAGGCAAATAAACAGTAATCAGTAATTGACCGTTTAGTTGTTGATTATGAACAGCAAACTAAATAGCTGTTGATTATTTTAGAATAAGAAAGAAAGCAAATAAATAGGTAGGATGTAAATAAGACAAGAGCGACGCATACTGCATACACCTGCAACAAAGAAAATAACTGTTACTTTTTCAGAAATAATAAAACCACATAGGAAGGATTAGTACGTTGTTGATTATGAACAGCAAATAAAAACATTCAAAACATGTAAAGTTTTGAGAGAACAACAGATATTGGGCATGGCCATAAATATGATGAAATGTAGCTCATGCAAAGAGTAATTAATTGTCCATCGATTTGCCTATAGCTAATTATAAAATGCACGTTTATTAGCGAAAAAAAAGAGTAAAACTTGTATAAATATGTTTTTAACGACTTAAAAACCAATGCTGAAAACTAAACCATGATGAAGAAAACATCAAAATGAACTCTAAAATTAATATTTAAAATTTCAATTTTGGCTATGTCCAGGGAAAACAAACCCAACAGGAAAAAAGACTTCTAAGGCCGGCTTGATAGCACAAACTGTTTTCCAATCAAGTTAATTTAAAAAATTAAACTGAAATATGTTCTTTTTACCGAAACTGTTCGTTTTTGTTGGTTTACCACGGTTTTTGTAAAAACCGAAGAAATCACTCGTGAGCATTTTTTGTCTAGTAACAGGACTGTGAACCCTAATAACGACTAACAAGTTGAAGATCAAACGATGAAACTCGTTGAAATGTTTCAAGAAGGCATTCATCCTATCTACTTAGCTTGGTTGACATTGCATTGCTATGAGATTAATTATGCGTGCACATATATAGGTAGGATGTAAATAAGATGAGAGAGATCTTTGCCCTAAGACGTACAACCTTCAGTCTACTAGACATATTATACCTGTTCATCATATTCCATTTTTTAACACAATTTTTAATCAAGAGACCAGCGAGGCAGCGAGTGAACTTTTTAAACTAACTCTGAAAATTCACTCTCGAGGAAAGTCAATCCAAGAGACTGGTAGGTGCTACTATAATGCAGCGAGCATGCTAAGCAAAATCACTAATTGACAGAGGCTCTACTTGCTTTGTGTTGATTCCCTTCTAGAAAGTAATAGATAGTGTGCAGGCTGCAATCAGGCAACCGCTAGCTTCACAATCAAGATACTTTTAGTCACTAATCAGGAATTTTGCAAAGGAGTATGATTAGCTCAAAGACTATATAGGACTGAAGGGTGGTGCATCATGCCTGAAAAATCATGCTATGTGGACATGTGGTACTACTACTACCTGAATCTCTTTGTAGGCACGCAGGTGTTGCTTGCATCTGAAAAAAACAATTGATCCTGCACCTAACAATTAATCTTGCTTCACTTATCTGAATAATGGGAACGCAGATCCAGTGACATTCTCCCATGACATTCTCGTGACATTGAGCCACTGACATGTGGGACCCACATGTGCCTGGACCCACGTGGGTCCCACACGTCAGTGACTCAATGTCACGTGGAATGTCACCGAGCAATGTCACCTTAATCCCAATCCATCTTTAGCATCAAGCTAGCTTAGTGGGCCAGCCCTTAGTGTTTTTTTTTGGTTGCATTAGTTTCATGCGTGGCCTGCACAATTTCGTAGCATCAATTTAGAAACAAACTCTCAGAACAAATTTTGGAAGCAACTCCAACTTAATTATGGTGTATGTAATCCTATCTCTTAAACTAGATTATGAGCATCTCTTGGGGTGCAGTAGTGTACTGTTGAGCAAAATGGCAGCAAAGCTAGCTTAGCTAGTAGATACAGTACCATTGTTCATCTGTTCATTTCATTTCATTAAGGTGGATAAAGGTACAGAGATGACAAGTGTACAGGCGCACGGGGTGATTACATTAACTACACTGGATCTAGTAGTTTAATTAGCACTAAACATCTTGCTCGGTGAGCTATGTTAATTAGCAGCTAAGGCATGGCATTGCCAGTACTGACTGTAGATAGACTGTCAGCTGCTGGTGTTTGTCTGATAGCTTGATTTGGACTACATAATGGAGGTACCACCTCCTAAACTCAGCTCATTGCTGTGTGGAATTAAGAACAGCTGGTTGAACAAGTGACAGGATAGGATGCAGTACGTAGTTGAAACTATTATTTATTTTAGTTGTGACTTACTTTATTATTATTTACAGTACTTTAAGCACAACTTTTCGTTTTTTATATTTGCAAAAAAAATTTAAATAAGACGAGTGGTCAAACGTTGCAATCAAAAACTCAAAATCCCTTATATTGTGAGACGGGTGAGTAGTAATTACTAATTGCCCCTACTACTGTACCTAACTATATGCATTTTCTGTATCTGATCACTAACTTCACTTTTTTCTATTGAAATAAAAAGAAAGAGAAGAAGGTTCAGATATGGCAGACAAAGGCCCTGAAATCATGGCTCATTATGCGTTCATCAGAACATCTCAAAAGCAAAGGCTACTTATTACAAAATGGAACACTGTTTTCTTCTAGTATGAGCTCATTAATTGGTTCTGTGAATGAAAGAGCAACACGAGACTGAGCTTTTGCATGGAGTATGTATTTCATACCGGTTTGTGAAGGTTAAAAACTTAAAATCTGAGTACCAAGTCAGAAACATGAACTCCACTAACATATAGAAAGGAGAAAGACATGCAGAAGAAGCATGAAGACTTTGCCCATGCAATTCAAAGTTCATCTTCGATGTAATTAAAATCATCTGCAAGTTCAATCAAAGCCATGAGCCCATGATGACTTGATTATTACTGCCCAAATAAACCAATTGAATTATTGATGGGCCTGCACATTGATATTTTATGAGACAAAAATTAACTGAAATCAGGGCTTGCACCTCAAAATTTGTCGTGAATAACATTGTACCACATGACTGTCAGACAAAATGATGCGTTAACCAAATTCAGCCCAAGATTGGATCAGTATCCCAATTTGGCCCAAAATTTGTAGCCTGGTCCTTGGGCCAAAGAATCGGACGGCCTTCATCACCAGCCTCGTAATCGACCCAAATTCGGCCCAAAATAGGATAAAACAAAATTCGGCCTGGAAGAAGAAGATCAAAATTCGGCCCAAGCACTGAATTCAGAATTTTGCTGTTCCATTGGAACAAAAACAAGACATGTTTTGCAACTCTGCAGTGGTGAAAAGCTGCTTTGGCCAAAAGGGTGAAAGTTCTCTTGGACGCATGCCATTCTTGCCTTGTCTTGAAACACAGAAAACTCCAGCTGCTGTAACCACAAGCAATGCAATGCAATTCATGCCCCTCAAGAAGTACAGTAAATATTCAGGCAGTTAAATTCCAAGATTTTTTTTTAACTTTCTGCTAATGCATTCACCTTCCCATCTCACTTCAGAAGGATCATAGCCAGTTTCTGTTTCACTATGGATCATTCAACTCACCTGTAGTAAGTACAGAAGTTTGTGAATTCCAAGCACAAAAAAATGGAGGAATATTTGCTTACCTATATCTTGTAAATGCATTGATGAAACCTGATACAGATAATCACGGAAAAGGGTTGCTGGTAATTGGGATTGGGATAATGGTGTGAATCTTTTGCCAACCACCAACGGTGTGTGTGTGTGTGTGTGTGTGTGTCTATCTGCAGCATTTGCAGAGTTTCAGAGATGGCAGTTTCGGTTTCAACCTCCCCAATCCCCATGGTATATGCTTTTCTTTCTTGCTTCTCTTTTTTTTTCAGAATAGTCCAGTACCTTTATGTGATTCACAACATTACCCCCAATGAAATTTGATAGTACTACTACCTTTAAAGCACGTACGAAAAACAGTAAAAGTTGCATTACCTGCATACTATCAATTATCACCGTCAATTATAGAGAACAAGTGTAGGAAAGGCAGGTTTGCATTTGTTGTCAAAAAAAATATTGTAGCATTATTAAGGATATTCTAACCATTTATACATTAAAAAAATGAAGAAAGCACTTATATAACTAGTATATGATAAAATTAAGGACATGCAGCGGTGCCCATCAAGAAGATTTTTTTGGTTTTAATTAAGGCACAATTAAATTCCATCCTCTTCATTTCAAATTACTAGTCATTATGGGTTTATCCCAAGTCAAATATTTTAATCTTTGACCATCAATTTTCAAAGTAAATATTTAGACAGTTAAACTCCAAGTTTTTTTTTCAACTTTCTGCTAATACATTCACCATCCCATCTCCACTTCAGAAACACCATCATCAGTTTTTATGTTTCACTATGGACATTCAACTCACCTGTAAAAAGTACAGAAGTTTGTGAATTCCAAGCACAAAAGGTTGTAGGAATATTTGCTTACCTATATCTTGTAAATGCATTGATGAAACCTGATACATATATCACGGAAAAGGGTATGTTAATTGGGATTGGGAGAATGGTGTGAATCTTTTGCCAACCACCAACTATGCAGAATTTGCAGCAGCAGCAGAGTTTCAGACATGGCAGTTTCGGTTTCAGCCTCCCTTCTCCATGGCCCATGGCACAGCTTTTCTTTCTTGCTTCTCTTTTTGCTTTCAGAAATAATCCAGAGCCTTTATGTGATTTACAACAATATCCCCAATGAAATTTGATATTTTTTAGATAATACTCCCTGTTTCATATTACAAGTTACTTTAATTTTTTTTCTTAATCAAATTTATTTTAAGTTTGACCAAGTTTATAAAAAAACCATAACAACACTTTCAACACCAAATAATCATACTATTAAAATATATTTAATGTTCGGTTTAATAAAATTTGTCGGGATAACCGAAGGAGGTCATCCAATGTTATTAAGATAGAAAGAAAAGGTTATAAAAAAGTTTTTCAGGATGTGCACTAGAGCACACGTCCCGAACCATGTGCCAACCGCCCAGACATACACTATAGAGAGGGAAGCCGAGCACTGAACCAGTCGTTGCTATGCGAGACCGGTCGCCACCGGGCTTACAACACCACCACGGAGCAAAGACTGTAAAAAAACGACGCCCTCACGAAGGTCGCAATGCCAAAAGACGCCGTCGTCATCTGTCCACGATATTTTTCTGGTGTTAAAAGAGTTAGTACATTTTTCTGTAAAAGTTGGTAAAACTTACAAAAATTTGACATAAAAAAGAATCAAAGCATCTTATACGGAGTAATATGAAACGAAGAGAATATTTAATTTGATACTACCTATAAACCGCACAAGCTGCATTACCTGCATACCAATTATCAGCGTGCATTATACAGAGAACAGGTGTAGAAAAGGCAGGTGCAGATTTGCATTTGTTGTCAAAAAATATTGTAGCATTAAGGATATTCAAACTATTTACACATTAACAAAACAAAGAAAGAACTTATATAGTTAAATGATGAAATTGATGACACAGGCAATTGTGCATATCAACAAGAATTTTTTTGGTTGTAACTAACGCACAATCAGATTACATCTCTTCTTTTTGTGTACTTAACTTGTGTCAATCTGTCTATATAGTATATAGTCTATACAAAACACTAATTTCTTGTAAGAAATATAATTTTGTGCGAAATACAAGGTCCTAATTGACAAATCCACAGAAGTAGTACTCCAGGAGTACTTCTGTTCTGCATAGTCCAAAGTCCAGACAAAAAACATTTCTCACTTAACCCCTCGAAAACATTCGAAATTACACACTTACACCTTCTACCTCTGCTACTACTAGTAAACCCCAAGCCAAACCCTCCTCTGCTCCGGCGAGCTCCCACCTCCTCCGTCTCCAACTCCGGCGATATCTCCGGCCATCTCCTCCAGCCCCAGCAAGAACACCACTCTCCGGTACGTCTCTCTCGCACTCTCGTGTCCTCTCGACAGGACATGGTGCTGATCGGTTTTTGGCGCTTGTTTTACTTTTACAGGTGGCGGAGGATCGCCATGGCGCCGCCGGAGAAAGGCGCGGCGGCGCACGGCGCGGTGGCCAAGAACGGTGGCGAGGGGGAGGTGAGCGCCGTGAGGCGCCCGGGGCGGCCTCGCGTCGTGCACCCTGACGTGGCGGAGTTCCTCTTGAACTTCCGCCGCTTGCGGAGGGAGAAGAAGAAGCGTGCGACGCCACGGCCGGCGGTGGTGGTGGTGCCCGGCGAGCGCGCGAGGTACGACTGCGCCTTCGAGGACGAGGGGGAGGTCGGGCGGCGAGGAGGGTTCGCGCCCGGGCGGCTTGTGTGGGGCAAGGTGAGGTGCCACCCGTGGTGGCCCGGGCAGGTGTTCGACCCGGCTGACGCGTCGGAGCAGGCGCTGGAGGAGCGGAGGAAGCACGGCGCCACCCTCGTCGCCTTCTTCTGGGACAAGACGTTCGCGTGGGTCGACGCGGATGAGCTCCTCCCGTTCCGCGGTGACGGCGGCGACTTCGCGCTCCTCGCCGGCCAGAGCGCCCACGCCATGCCCGCGCTCACCGCCTCGGTGGACGCCGCGCTGGGCGAGGTCGCGCGCCGCGTGGCCGCGGGGCTCTCGTGCTGCTGCTGCTGCGACGGCGCCGCCGTGGCCAAGAAGCAGGTGATCGAGAACGCCGGCATCCGGGAGGGAGCGCACGGCGCGACGGTCGACGCGGCGTTCACGCGTGGCGCGCTCCGCGGCGAGGCCTTCGTCGGGTACGTCTCCGCGCTGGCGGTGGCGCCGCTCGCCGGAGCCGACAGGCTCGACCTCGCCATCGCCACGGCGCAGCTGAAGGCGTTCGACCGGTGGAGGGGCGCCGCCGCGAGGAGCCTCCCGGAGTACACGTGTCACCACGGCATCGAGGCGAACGCCATGGCGCCACGCCGCAAGAGAGGAAGAGCAACCAAGAACACGATCACTGGCAATGTGGATGACGATGCATCGGAACTGGAGAATTTCGAGCCAACGCCACAGCCACTGTCCCATCAGATGTCCACAAAGATCGGCAAGCTCATGAGCCGCGCCGCGCAGCAGATGTCGCGGTCACCGGCGGTGATCCACCGTGACACCACCACCACCACCACCAATGGCGATGCGCCGCCTCCTCCTCCTCCGGCGATTTCACTCACAATGGGAAGGTGCACAAGAAGTGCAGATGAGAAGAAGAAGAACAGTGACATCAGAGAAGATCCTTTTCTGGCTGGATTGGTGCTGAATTTCATCTGCCCAAGTGCTGTTCTTCCTCTAAGTGAACTTGTCAACATCTTCAGCAAGTTTGGGCCGATCATGGAGGCCAAGACAGAGAATGCATATGCCATGGTGATGTTCAAGAGGCGTGCAGATGCTGAGGCTGCATTCTCAGGCACAACCAAGATCAACGCTCTTAGCTCTTCTCTCATCAGCTTCCGGCTCAACTACTCGATGTCGGCTTCGCCGATCGATTCTCCAGAGTGCTCACTGAACACTGCCATGGATCGCCTGCTCTTTTGAGCTGTTCAGTTTGATGAAACAACTTACTCAGGTTTGTTCTGGTGATCCCTGGCATTGTAGCTCTCAATATCATCTGATCCATGACAGAGTTGCAGCTTGTTTGTTCTTGTTTTGCTTATCAGTATCATGTTCTTGATGCAGGTCATAGTAGATGAGGAGACAGTGAACAGATTACAAACAAGAAATGTTATTAGGTGATACTCAGAATCCATAGGAGGAGGCAGTGGATTAAGCTATATCATTTCAGTAGGCTATGTGTTGAACTAGTCTCTCTAGTTGCATCTTTTTGGCAGTCTTGCTCAACAGTTATTTAAATTATAAGTGATGCAGATGAGTTACCAGTGGCTGCAAAAACATCTTGGATGGTCATGTTCTATTATATATTTATATCTACATTTTGGATTACTCTCTCTGATATGTCAACTGGTTGTTGGTACTCTATTATCTGCTTGAAAAATGTGATGAGGATTTTCATTATATGTGACAACAATGGATTAAGTTTTGGAAATTGTAGCATAATTTTCTGAGTTACTGAGTGCTATTAATTCTTCTGTTTGGTTGTGATGGATATGAACGTGCCATTTTTTTTGACAGTCATCTGCAGAGTGTTGCTTTGACTTGTGTTGCAGATCAGCAGATGCTAACAATGGTTGTAAAAGCATCTGAACCTCTGAATTTTGTTCTATTTTCTGCTTGAAAAATGGGATGGGGATTTTGATTATATGCAAGATCACTGGATTATATCTGGATTTGTAACGCAAGTTTTTCAGTGACTAATGCTCCTGGGTCTTGTGTTTGGCTATGACAGTCGGATCATATATATTCAATTTGGTATCTGAAATTAATATAGCATAGTGCTCGTGCATGTTTCTGTCAATGTTACAAGTACAGACATAATAGTTCTTCATGTGTTCATAGAAATGAGTTCCCAACCTACACGACAGACTGGCGATTTGTCAAGAAATTCATATTTCAATCCATCGTAAATTACATCAACACAGTCAATCACTATCAGTTTCAGAGTTAAAAAAATGGTGGATATTCATTATCAAAGAGCAGCAATACAGTCCCCAGAGATTGGGGGTGTAAATACATATCATATAGACATATAAAATGAAAGAATCGAAGTAGTCTATATACATAATCTAGCAGGAGGGGAGAAAATTGGTGTTACATCTCAAGTAACTATTTCCCCAAGTAAAAACATCGCCAGATCAGATAATCTAAGTCAAATTAGTGAGTCAGTGCAATTCCATCATTGCCATCAGCCGTGAATGAACATCTATCATCTGAAGTATTGTACATCGTTCTGCTATAAGTTGTACCTTCAGCCTTTTATCATGATAATTGGAAGGAGCCTAAACCCTCCTTGATAGCATATTTGAGCTTCTGTCTCATAATCTCCTGCAATCAGAAATGAAGGCAATTGAGAAATCATTTTTAGTTTTGCATCATTCATGAACTAGGTTGAAAGTGCATGTTTTTATGGTACCTTAGAGGAGTACGGTGGAAGCTTGAAGAAATGCCGGCAAGTATTGACACTCGGTAATTCGTTGTCTACTTTGCCATCACATTGCTGTTGAGTACAATTAATAATACTAAGTTAAGTTTCTATCGAAATATTAATCTTGGGACCTAATAGGATAGTCTCTTATGAGTTAAAAATAAACGCAAACCTTTCGCACTACGGTGAGCTTAGGATCGAGCGAAGCTAGGCCACCAAGTGGGAGCTGAGGAGCTCCAGTCGTAAAATGCAAGAACGCCCGCTGGTCCTCTCTTCCAAACTCCCGCAAGATCTCCAGGAACTGAAAAGAAAACGATTTTTCCAATTGACTTCCTCATTACAAGTTAAGATATAAAATATGTGGGAGGCATAGGCTTATATGTTGTACTTACACTAATTACTGATGCACTGTTCGCATCATATCCATAATCAAAATTGATGTGATCCTCAAGTTTGTTCGACTGCAAGTATTGAAAGTTAGAAACTCTAACAAGAAACTCTCTTGCAGAAATGAATGTATAAAATAAAAGGAATTGTAAAGGATGCATACAGCCCAAGAATCTTGTTCGCCACATAGTATACGCTCCATCTCATCCTCACTGAACAACCGAAGAGTCTTAAGAGCAAAAACCTGCAGGATGCTGAAATAAATCAGGAGTGATTTTTTTGGCTTTATTTGGAAAAAAATAAAGACATTAGATCTACTGAATATTTTCCTCACAAACCTTGTTAATTCCAGCCTTGAAAGCTTCTATTTGATTGGATATCCCACTTTTCAAGGTTGCATCAACAATTGAAGACACATACTCCTCCAAATTGTCAAGTGTCACCATCTTCTCTGAACCTCCAGGGACAAGTTCATATTCCGGATTTCCAGGAAGGGTAAAGTCAAGACATAAATCCTCCAATCGCACGTTTTTATAGGACAAATCAGCTGCTGGATTGGATGCCCTTTCCTCCAGGAACTTCTTCCTTTTAACAAGTGCTTGAAACTCCATAACAGTCTTGCCCAACTTGGGATCAAATGATGGAATGTCATAAATATCAAGGTCCTAAAAGCAAAAACAGGCATGATCAGAGAAAAGGTGACATGAATGATCAAAGAAGAGGGAAGAGATTGACATTGGACGATTGCTGAAAAGTTACCTGCTCAAGCATGATCTTGTAAAATGCTTTCGAGAGAGGAATATCCAGAACCCTTCCATCCAAAACTGCTCTTGCTACAAGATGCCCAAGAAGCTTGAATTTTTGTACCACATTGGACAAACTGATCCCTTGAGATGAAGTGTTTGCTGAGGACCATGGCTGTGGAAAGAGACCAAAAGGGGCATGGACAAAACCAGCTTCGCATTCTTGGCTGGTGTCGTCTCCTCTCCACATTCCAAGACCCACTCTCTGTAGTTCATGACTAACTGTGGTATAGAATTCGAAGGTTGGGCCTCGACCGGTCCCAACCTCTCCATCAAATTCCACCTCAATGAATTTGGTGTCTGATCCATGTTTGTTCAACATCGATGAAGCATCTTCAAGGATTTTGCTCCGTGTTACGCTGTACTTCTTAGTTTCTGTTGAACTGCTAGCCTCATCTGTCATGAATGAGTGATGTGCCGTCAGGCAGAAATACTTCCATCGAGCTTCGAATGACAACAAGAACGGGCAAGTTTCAACCAAATAGATACACCACGAGGGTATCAAGCCATCCCCAAACAAGCTATCTTGCATTTGCTGCTCTAACTTATTTGTCAGTAGACTGCTCACGAACTGATCCCGTGGAATTGGACAAATTGCCACCTTAAGGTCATCAAACTCTTGGAGGCAGCCTTCAGCAAATTTGCATAACTTATCATCCATTGATAGATGATATGAAAAACGGTTGAGCCCTTCGAGGACTTTCAGCATGAACAGGAAGTTATATGATGGATCAGATTCATCCAGATCACCAGGAAGCTTGCCAGTGAGTATGGTGGAGAAAAAGGGGTCCTTAAGCAATGACATTTCAAGTTTTTCATGCACACGGCACAACTGAATATTGTAGGAACTATGGGAAGATATTTTCTTGCTTTTGTTTCTTCTTCTGTATACTATCTTGTGTTCTTTATCCCAAAAAGATGGGTCAATCTGGAGATCGGTTTCTCCTTCATGCATTGAGCGGAGGATTGACTCAAAAAGTGGTGTAGATGACTGGAGTTGTGTTCCTTTGTAAGAGAATTTCAATCTTGAGAACTTGTGCCCGTCACCTGGGGAATCAACATTCGTTAGTTTGTTTCTCTTAAAATCATGATATCATAATTGACCAAGTAAACAACATTGCAGTTTGTAACATCATGTAAAGAAGTACACTAGATCCTAGAGGTAAGCGGCATAGGAGAAAGGTTTAATACCATTTCTGAGCCCAACAGATTTTCTGCTCCCATTTGCTTCTTGAGTGTTTTCCTGAATCATAGAAATAACACGTTATAAATAAAACTGAATTTACACTTGATGGTTCATGATATGTGTGAATACAAAAGTGAAAACATGCAGTAAACGTTTGAGAAAATATGAACAAGCCGGTGTAATGTGTAATACCTTGTATGAAGTTTCATTGCCAGTTCTTTTACAGATCTCAGGCAACAGGACCTCTTCAATGGATTCAGGTGTCGAAGAAAGATCAACAGGGAGAACTCCACCATAATCCTCCAACTCCTCCTCCCTGGCTGATCTCGAAAATTTTATATATAGTGACATTGGTTCCTCAGTTCCTGAATCCCTCAGAGGAATCATGGTGCTCTCACGTGTGCACTGTTCATCAGCCAGGATTACAGGGAAACTGTCATACCACACATGCAACGCATCTATCAGTTTCTCCACCAAAATCTCAAGTGGCTTCACCGAGCTTTCATTGTCCACGCTGAGAGCCAAGTGCGTGAACTTCTGCAGCCGGATTTTCACCTCCTTAAGCTCCCCTATCAAGTCCTGGCAATTCCTGAGATTTGAATTAAAGTATGTCCCATTGGAAAGATAACCTGCCAAATGTTTGATAGATCCACTCTGCACAAACTCAAAAGTAGAAGTACTTGGCAGTTCATCCGATAATAATTGCCTTGAAAAATCAGACAACTGCTTGCAGAGATCCTGATCTTTAGCTGGGGGTGCCGTGGCATGACAATTCAAACGAGAAAAAAATTCCTTTATGCTTTTAAAAGCACACCCAAACTTGTGAGGAGACTTGGCAACCTTTACCAAGAAGTTTTTCTTTATCTCCTCCGCTAGTTTCAGGATAGCACCATTATTAATCCTGCATGCATCATCTGTCGAGGTCTCCAAGTCTAAATCAAAACAAAGGCAACTTTCTGGCAAGCGGCTCTTTCCTTTTTCCTGTGTTAGTATTGCATCAATTGCATGCTTTAGACCCTCCCTGATGAAGGTCTCAAAGAAGAATTTCTGGTCTTTTCTCAGAAGGGTCTTCGAAACGTTGAGCGTTTGGAATATGATATGGCGGTTCTTCCGGGCCAACCAGCCAGCAAGTAAGCTGATACAAGGGCAAGATATCAGTACCATCATTCAAGTTGGTTAGTTAAATAAAGGAAGCGTGTTTCAAGGCCCCTCAAAATATTTTTGGGAGAAAATTCAACTGTGTGAAAAGTTCACCTTGACAGGTTTACTGTCTTCTGTACCTCCACCAAGGAAGAAGGTGTGCTTAATTCAACAATGTTTCTGATGACAACAACACAACTGTAGCAAATTGATGATAGTGCAGCAGATTTCGCAACCTACGTTACAAGAAGAAATATGTTATATCAAGGGATAGTTGCAGAACTATCTTCCTGTGTTACAAGGAGACTGGAGAGAATTTTCTTACCTGTATTATAAAAGTAAGGATGCTAGCAAGCTGTTGGATGTATCCACTTTGTTCTGTGATGACATTCTTCTTTGCAATGATTAGTTCGGTACGATGGTCACACATTTCAAGAGGTGGCATAAGATAATAAATGAGCTCTACAAGCGTCTGCACCTGCAGTTTTGAATTGAATTGAATTGTGTAAATAGATATTACGAAAAACTACTGTACAATGGAATACTTGTACAGTTCATTCACATATCTACTCTACTCTGATAAACACACATTCATTGTAATTGTATAAAAAAAACAAATGAGAAGTACTACCAATTTTTCTAACTCTTGAAAATATACATTAAGGTATAAACATGTGACGCCACTTTAACAATTTACACTAAAATTTTTAATCTGCTTTTGTGTCAAGTATTAGGTCATCATAGGAAAACATGGCAACAAAATTTCTGATGCTAAGACACACAGGGAAAAATGTACCTTATTGTGATCACTGTGCGACGAGGTGTAGTATGTTATCATCTGCTTGAGCAAATCACAAATGTTTAACTCAAAAAGAGACTTTACAGCCCTTGCTGAGAGAGAAGCTAGGTCTTTGAGAAGACCAAGGATGCCCTGTCACACATGTCAATTCAGTCATGAATGATCAATTGCTAAAACTAAGATAGGAATGAATTAACAGCTAACATACCACATGTGCTTTGCTGCGGATTACTAAATAGTGTGCCTGTGTTGTCGATACTTCTTACACTATTTAGATTTTCTAAAGGGAGCCATAAACATCTAAGATAGTTTGCCGTAAAAATGACTTCTAAATAAAAAGGACGCCTTTTCATGAAACATGAAAAAACACATGCGAATTATAAAGGTGGTAATCAAAGAGTCTCCTGATTTCGAATACTTAAAGAGTTGATAATTAGTTACATCTTTAAGGCTACAGGTTTATAAGGTAATGTGGAATAACAAGAATATTTCATTTTGAGTCAATTTTAGAGTAAGAAAAACGATGGCTGAGGAAGCAGTATCATGCAACATACAGATAAAGTCTCATCGCTGAGGCTCTTCCACCCGTCGTTCTCCATCAACCTCATCGTCGCTTGGACTGCATTAAGCTCGTAAAGCTTTTCCATGTGTTGGGCACTGTCGCAAGCACCATCAGAGACCAAAACCAAGCAAGAAACGGCGGAGTCGAGTATCTAAACATCCAGAACGGTCAACAAACCCATCAGTCAGAAACAGTAGCTCTCCAAGAAAGAGAAGAAGAAGACAAACTCATAATATAACCATCATAAAATTAAACACGCGTACCGTCTTGTCAGTGGATTGCAGGAGGTTGCACAGAACGGGCGCGGCCTCCATGGCCTTGGCCGCATCCTTCGCGCTGAAGTCGCCCAAGACGTTGGCGACGATCTTGAGCACCAGCTTCTGCGAGGCATTTCCACAAACAGGTGGTGAGCGTGGGCGCAAGCATGTCAAGCACGGAGGCGGCAGAGCAGCGCAAAGAAGGATTAAACCACAAGAGATGAGAGATAGTCTGATCAGGATGAGGAGGCTTCACCTGCTTGTGCATCGAGAAGAAGTCGAAGAACTGCAGCACGGCGGCTGGCACGCCGTGGCTGAGGCACTCCTTGGGGCACTCCATGGATATGACGCCCAGAGCGCGAAGGCACTGTATAAACACACAAAACGAAGCAACCGTCTCCTTTAGCACCACATCCACACCAACCAACCATAAAAGAGAAGGATATACCCTTACAATTGTACTCAATTTAATCTTACTATTGATGGAACAACAATAGGAGATTTAGATTTAAAAAATGTATGTCGTTGTAAAAAAAAAAGAATGCAGTCTTGATGAAACCACGTGTTATGTTACACAATACACGAACGAACGTATAATTAACTTAATCGTGCACGTAAAACCTATGTTACCGACAAAAATATGGATAAATTATAGTGTAAAATCTATATCATTGGTATATAAATATAAATATAAGGACAGTAAGTATTAGTGGGTGTCGTAATTTTTTATTAAAAAAGATTGTCTCGTACACCTGAAATACATTTAATTTTTTTAAAAGGTAGAAAAAAAATCACATATTAACGGTTGTATTATCAAGTTTAACCTAATATAGCTAGGGTTTTAGGCCGGCTTTCAGGTTTTAAGGAGGGGTTTTAGGTTTACAATTAAGGTGGTCCGAAAAGATGAATACAATTACTACTAGTACGTACAAATTTTACCTCTTCGACAAGCTGGATGTAGTCCTTATAGGCATATTAACCATAATATTGTCAGTTTAACCTAACATAGCTAGGGTTTTAATGCATATAAATGGTTTAAATTTTATTTAAACAGACACATATTAACCATAGTATTATTATCAGTACTTTAACCTAATAAAACTAGGGTTTATATAAGAGGGTTTTATAAGTATAGCTATATAATTAATTCAGAAAGATGAATATAACTATTACTACTACCGATTAATTACCTCTTCGGCGAGCTCGATGCAGTCGATGGCGAGGAGCTTGTCACGGAGCGCCTCGATGGCGCCGTACCTGGCGAAGCTGGTCGCCCAGGGCCGGACGCCCTCGCATACCTCGGCGATGGCACGCGCGGCGAAGAGCGGCACGTCTCCCTCGCCGGAGGCGAGGAGGCGCGGGAGGCGGGCGACGAACTCGGCGATGGGGAGGGCGTCGAAGAGGTGGTCGGCGGCGACCGCCAGCACGTCGCAGAGCGCCGCCAGCGCCGCCACGTGCGCCCCGGCCCCCGCCGCCTCGTCCCTCAGCTCCGCCACCACGTACTCGATCACCGCCATCTCCGACGACTCCATCGGAATTAATTAATCTGTGATTGGCGGCGGCGGTGGTGGTGGTGTCGGCGACTCGCTCGCCGGAGCGCGCGCGCGGCCGCGGCGCACGGTGGTGGTGGTTGTGGTGGTGTGGCGGCGTGGGGTTTTGGGTGGTGGTTGGGTTGGGTTTGGGTTGGGCCGGAGGGTTTTATGGCGGCGGCGGCGCGAGAGACGCAGATGGAGTCGGGCACGGCGAGCGATGGAAGAGACCGTGTGGGTCTCTCTGTTGCGGCGGGATCCGACGTGGCACATGCATGCGTGAGTCTCTGTGTGTGCCTACGTGTCCATGCAGGAGCAGGCGGATACGATTGATATCTGGTTTTCTCTTGGTCAGGTCAGATTTTTTTTTCTTTTTTTTACTTACCACCACGTTTGAGGACTTACCACCATTGTCTTCTTTGCATGTCTATGGGCCATCACACCGGCTGTAGTTTCAACATATTAAAAAGGGAGTGTCTACAGATCATGCGACAGATTTTGATGTTTCCCATCTGTCGAATATTTTGACCATTTGATCCAGATCCAACGAACAACGTTTTTTGATCAAAATAGAAGGAAAAAAAATAAAAAAAAACACAGATCGGGCCAGATATTGGCCCAGCTGACTCGATCCAAATTAAATGGAGGCCCAAACAAAAAAAGTCTAAAATTCAAGCCCAATGTAATAAATCAACAAAAAAAGCCCAAATAGATGAGCACAATACACGTGACACATGCCAGGTTACTTAATTAGAAAACTTGGCACCCAAGAAGAAAGTGTCACGTGATCTGGATATAAAAAGCAAAAAGCAAATTCAACATAGGGGGAATCAAACAGAGACAGATCTGAAGTCAGAAGAAAAAAAGATGGAGATTAACGAGAAAATTGACGATAGAGAAGCAAATTTACAGTACACACAGAAAGGAATCACAAGTTTGAGCGATTTGGAGAAGGAAAAAGGTGAAGAGCAGGAAAAATCAACAGGTAAGTGCACCTTTTGATTCCTCCTTTGAAATATCTTGTTGTTTTGAATCTGGATCTGAATCTTGATCTTGAATTTTGTTCTTCTGACCATTCTAGATAAACTTTAACTCTGATCTTTTGAAGAATATGAAATTTTGGAGAGTTTTCCTTGAGACATTCAAATATTCACATATATTGACTTCTGAATATACACATGTTCACACATTGTAGACAGTGCCTCTCTCGAAACTTCTAAATTCCTGTTAAATGAACATCACAGTATTAGAACAGAAGAGAAAATTTTAGGAGGATAAACAGAATCATTACAATTTTAGGAGGATAAACAGAATCTCTTGGGTAGAACATCAGCAAATTCATGCAACTCATAAACACATCTCATTCAAAAATTTTACATGAATAAGGAAACTCAAATCACTGTCACAAGTAATTCTCTCCACTGTCACGAAAGCAAGTCATCTCAAACTTTCAGAAAATTAAAATTCACCAGCAATAAACATGATTGTAAAAAATTCAGTGTGAACTATTCAGTTTGTAATTAAAACTAGTTTATTCTAATGCAGTTCATGTCATTCAAACAGAAGAAGATTTGCTCTGAAACAGAAAACATGCCACCTTTGAAAAAATCTGAATGAACAAAACACTAAAGCATGTCATGTCAAAATTTCATTACAGAACACTAAAGCATTTCATGTCAAACTTTCATTGCTTAAAATATTCATTGCCTACTATTTCATTCTGAAATTAAAACTAGTGAAATTTAATGTAGTTCATGTTCTTTTGTACTAAGAAACAGAACAAGCAAATACTTGTTCCTTCTGAAAATTTCTATATTAACAGCAGAGACTTGTACATTCTGAAAATTCTGAATAAACAGTACACTAAAAATAGGAACTAAAATTCTGAATGATGTAGGAAATTCAGATTTTATACTACAATGCAAATAAAACAGAATCAGAAATCATGTTTGAACAAAAAAGATTCTCTGGATGAACAAGAATAAAAACAGGATCTGCTGAAAATCTAGAAATCAGATTGTCTAATTGAACAAGATCACACTTTATATGCCTTTTTGTAAAAAATTTGAAAAACATAAACACTTTCAAATCATCAAACAAGATACATGACATAACTACACCTTATAAAGCACTCCATTTCATAACATAGTTTAGACTTAACTAAAACTATGAAATATAAAAATTACAATGAATTTGAACCATAATTACATGGAAAAAACTGTAATTTCAATATTGAAATCATGTAAAAAACATTTTACAACCAGAAATTGTTGTCAATCTAGCAAACATTTTTGTATTCATGTTTATAATGAGATGATGTACTCCAATGTTCAAAATCATTTCAGATTCAAAGAATCTATTTCATAACATAGCTTAGACATAAATTCAAAAAAAGTAAAAATTCACTTTGTAATTAAAACTAGTTTATTCTAATGCAGCTCATGTCATTCAAATAGAAGAAGATTTGCTCTGAAAAAATCTGAATAGCAGACACTTGTCACCTCTGAAAAAATCTGAATGAACAGAACACTAAAGCATGTCATGTCAAAATTTCATTATAGAACACTAAAGCATTTCATGTCAAACTTTCATTGTTTAAAAAATTCATTGCCCACTATTTCATTCTGAAATTAAAACAAGTGAAATTCAATGTAGTTCATGTCCTTTTGTACTAAGAAACAGAACAAGTAAATACATCAAAAAATTCAGTCCACCAGAAATTGTTGTCAATCTGGCAACATTTTGTATTCATGTTGTTAATGAGCTTATGTACTTCAATGTTCAAAAACATATCAATCCAGATTCAAACAATTCCATTACAAACCAAAGCTTAGACAAACAAAAACTTTGAAATATAAAAATTACAGTGAATTTGTACCATAATTACATAGAAAAAAACTGTATTTTCAATATTGAAATCATGTAACTGACATTGTAGATCATATAGATCAGGAGAATCAAAATCATTACAAAAAAAAGACATAAATACAAAAGTGGCCACCAGATAAGTAAAAAAACACCCCAATTCTCTGCACATCATCTGGACAAGAATTTTAATCATTATTTTAACTTAGCATGATTAATTTTCTTGCCTGATGATGTGCAGAAAATTGATTTGCTTAATCAAAAAAATATTTATCATCATCTGGCCAAAAAAAAATTCATTAAGGGTAATGCTTCTCAAAAGAGAAGAAATTGAAAATATCAAATGTCCTAAAGACGGCGGATGAAAAGCAATTCGAAGCAGGGAAAACATCAAGTGGTAAATGCATTACTCTGTATTATTCATGTTTAGTTCTGTTTTTTTTGCACTAATCTTCTATAAAATTACTTTTTTTGTATTGAAACAGATTCAGGCAAAAAATCACAGGGTCTGAAGATAATGAAGCAATTAGCAGGTATATTATGCTAAATTTTATAATATTATCTATTTATCAAATTAAACAATAGGACGAGAGAAAAATTATGTATCTGATCTTAATTATAAACTTTTGCAGGAAAAATTGAAGCTGGAACTAGTACTGATTCTGTTAATTCAAAATCAGGTTTGCAAAAGAAGTCCAAAACTTCATACTAATATTACTTGAACCACAAAAGATTCATTTAGAAAAATGAAAAAAAAGACATAAAAACAAATGTGGCCATCAGATAAGTAAAAAAACACCTCAATTCTCTGCACATCATCAGGACAAGAATTTTAATCATTCTTTTAACTTAGCATGATTAATTTTCTTGCCTGATGACGTACAGAAAATTGATTTGCTTAATCAAAAAAAATATTTATCATCATCTGGCCAAAAAAAAAAATTCATGAAGAGGAATGCTTCTATCTTCAGGAACAGAAGAGAAGATTTTGAAAATATCAAATGATCTAAAGAAGGCTGATGAAAAGCAATTACAAGAAGTAAAGACATCGAGAGGTAAGTGTATTGCTATGTAAATTTCATATTAAGTACTTTTTTTTCACTAATCTTGATCAAAAAATAAAAAATTTTGGTTTCGAAAGGTTTTGAAACAGATACCGACAAAAAAGCACAGAGATTTAAGACAATGAAGCAATTACCAGGTAATTATAAGAATAATTAGAAGAATAATTAAAAGTAAAAAATTATGCTTGTAATTTGTTTTATAATCTTTTGCAGGAATTTTCGAAGATGGAACTTGTACTGCTTTGGTTCAGTCAAATTCAGGTATACAAAAAGAAGTCCATTAAATTCAAATTATTTTTTTAGAAAAAAAATTCATAGAAAGAGTTTAACTGGATTCTAACAAATGTGAGTCTTTCATTTTAAACAGGTCTAGCATTCCTAGAGAAGAATTACAACACAACTCAATCATATAAAATGCAAGAAAACAGAGACAACATAAAATCAGGTAATTAATGAATATGTTACAAGCACTCAATCATATTTTCATCAAAATTGTAAATGTTATACAACTATGGATTGACAACAATTTTTTTTAAAAAAACAGGGAACAAGGGGCACTTGTCAGATATAGGAAGTAAGATTGAGAAGAAGAACACAACAAATCAGACATGTAAATATAAATAAATGTATAAAATTGTTTGACAACTTTCATACTGCATTAATTATTTTGTGAAACAAATTTAATAGTTTATATGATTGAAAACAGGTTTAGCATTGCTTGAGGAGAATTACAATACAACACTATCTTATAGAGTGCAAGAAAACATGGACATTACAAAAACAGGTAAGGGAAAAATTATGAAGCAAATTGCAGGTATGAGTAATAGTAAAACAAAAAAAAATAGATATTTTCCTCATATTTATTTTCAGGTAACAGTAAAGACTTCTCAGAAACAGAAGCTAAACTTGACAAGACCAAAAATTCAGAAGCAGACATTGGATGTAGTGCTTTGAATGAATCAGAGAAAAGTAAAAAATTTGCAGTAATATTTATATTATTTTTAAGAGAATTTTTTTGATTAATTAAAAGTTACACTAACCTATAATACTGGTATCAAA